AAAAAAAAGAAGACATTTTTTATATATTGTGAAATTTTTATGTCATGCGTCTTTTAGTAGGATCTCTATGAATATGTGGTATTAAGGTATGCGTTGGATTGTATGGCGATGAATGAGTTCTTGTGGTGAATGAGTAAATTGTAATGGATGAATCGGTTGTGAATCAGATTAGCAAGGTGTAGGATAGTCAGTGACAACAAGTTTTTCCCTACTTCCCCTTTTGGCTTTGTGCTACATGAAATGTAATATTTCAAAATAAACCATAAAAATAAAAAGTCACTTTGTTATGGCCCATATAATTCAGAAATACTTCCATTAAATATGATATTCCTTAAATTGAGAGATGTTAAATTAAGCTATTACTGTATTGATAAGATTAGCATTCCAAATTATTACTACAATAATAACAAACACTGTATTAACTCTCTTACATATTAAAATTTTTTTAGCTAGTCTCATATTCTGATCCCCATTAAAATATTCATATGATGCCAATAGACATACCCAAAGTGTTTATTCTCTTTGAAAACTCTGCAAAAAGAAATTATGAAACAAAAATGCTCTTCTTTTATTTGCCATATCATTTCAGTATGTGGACAATCATGGCTCTCCACAACTAAAGTTCTACTAAACAAGAATTATTTTCATCCTATGTGAAACCATGTATGTAGAGAAAAAACTGTTCAAGAAATCAAAATAAAGACATTTTTCTGCTTTTGTGAGATTAAGTCATCAAAAATATTTTTCTCAATCATCTAAATGGAAAACTGCATTTTTCTTCATAGAGATTAAATTCAATTTTTGCTTTTACTGACAAAATAAAATAGTATTTAGAATGCAATATAATTTATTTCAAATTATATTACATTTTGAATACTATTTTTTGATCTATTTCATGTTATTGCTGATGTATTACTTTAAAAAATCCAAAAAAGGGCTCATATTAAAGGGTGTTTCATTAAGATGGATCAAAGTCAGCAGTAAATAAATCAGTGTTATTCGTGAAAATTTATTTATTTCTCTATTGGATCATGTTATTTAAATCATGGCAATTATGTGTGAAAAATAATATCGCTCAAATGTCCACCACGGCTTTGGTGGCACACCTCCACTCAATGGTCAAAGTTTTTGATGATATCGCTGCACAGTTGCTCCTCGATCTCACCAATATGCCTTATTATCTCATCCTTCAGCTGTTGAATTGTTGTTGGCTTGTTGGCATAGACCTTACTTTTGAGATAACTCCAAAGGAAGAAATCTAAAGGTGTCAAGTTGCACGATTGTGGTGGCCAATTGACTTTGCAGTTTTGAGAGATGATGCAACCTGGGAACTTCTCATTCAAATTCTGTTTGAATGTCCATTTTCATAATAGGCTTCGATAACTTTAACACGTTGTTTGATTGTTAATCTTTCCATAATTGAAATTGCCAAAGACTTAAGTTGTTAAATCTGAAAGAAAAAGAAAAAAATTATTAGACTTTAAGCGTCTAATAATTTTTTCTTTTTCTTTCAGATTTAACAACTTAAGTCTTAATTCACATTTAAAATCAATCCAAGTTATTGGAACACCTTTTATAAAGTTATGTGAAATTATCGCAATATCATATGTGGTTGGGCATATGGCTCAAAAGCATGATTGGCAACTAGTCATTCAAAAATTCTTCTTTTTTTTATTTTAACAATTTAAAAAAAATAAGCAAATCTTTGGTTCTATTCCATAATATTTTCATTAAAATTGAAATTCATATTTTTTTTCCAAAATCTACCAATTTTTATATATTTTGATCATTTCAGGAAATTTAATGGGTATTTTTAATTTTGCTGCTTTAAGCAATTTATACATAGCAAACACTGAATTATTTCCCAGAGTGGACTGAATTGTTAGTTCCCATGGCCACTTTGAGACCAATATGCCAAGCAGTTGTCTCTGCTTTTTGCAGTACTTTTAGAGGTGTTAATGAAAATTGCAAAGAAAAAAACATTTATTAAAATGACAATAATATTTTTATAATATACAAATTGTACAAAATAAAATATAGGCCTTGCACAAAAATTCACCTGTGCAACTGAAACTATCAAGGCAGATTAACAGTTCTTTCAAATACAAATTTGTTTTCTCTTAGAAAACAACAGTTCATGAAAAACACATTTTTGCTTTAAAAACAAAAGAATTTTAGTTATTTTTAAAACAACAATTCATGTACATCAATTTTCTAGCAACAAATGAAATTTACTTATTTAAAAGTTCACAAATTCAAAAAGGTTGAAAAAAGTGAGAAAGGAACCTGAGATGATGTTGGTCATCTGGATCTCTTAGACAAATTATTAAGATTTTTAGAACAGGTGTTCTCAAATATGAGAAAAACTCTTACAGGTTTAGAAAAGACATTTGAATGAGATAAACTCATGTTTAGAAAAGGCATTTTGAATAAGATAAATATTTCTCTTCATAACGAGAATTCTTGTAGGTTTTTATAGGTTCTTCCTTTTCTTTTTCTTCTTCTTCTCCTCTTTCTTCTCCTTCTTCTTCTTCGTTAGCAGCAGCAGCAGTTGTTGTTATCAACCATTTTCTCACCTGAGTCATCAAATCCTTTCTCACATGTGGTCGATTTCCTTTCTTGTCCCAGATACAGTTTGATTTTATCTGTTTTATTAAAAATAATTCTTATATCAATTTTTACACATTTCAACATTTTCTTAATTTTTTATACAATTTAAATATTATCTTTTTTATTAAAATAGTTTCTATATTAATTTTTATAAAGTTCAAATATTTTAATTATTTTTTCTCATATTAACTTTAATATTATGTTTTTTATTAAAAATAATTTTTTTACCATCTTTTCAACAGGGAAGTTTTGTTTTATTGGAGCATTAAATGGCACAACACTTCATTAATCTCAGTAGGGAAATTTTATTGACTAATTATCAGTGAAGAAGAGAGAGGAAGTAATTGATTGAGGGAAAGAGAGTGGAAGTGATTGAGCAAAAGAGAGAGGGGAAGTGATTGAATGAGAGAGAGGAAATGACTGAGCAAGAGAGGAAGTGATTGAGAGAGAGAGAAAGTGATTGAGTAAAAGAGAGGAAATGACTGAGCAAGAGAGAGAGAGAGAGGGAGGAAGTGATTGAGCAAGAAAGAGAGTGATTGAGAGAGAGAAAGGAAGTGATTGAGCAAGAGAGAGAGGGGAATTGATTGAGAGTGATTGAAAGAGCAAGAGAGAGAGAGCAAGTGATTGAGAGAGGGAGGAAGTAATTGAGAGAGAGAGTGGGGAAGTTATTGAGCAAGAGAGAGAGAGAAAGTGATTGAGAGAGAGGAGGAAGTCAGAAAGAGAGAGGAAGTGATTGAACAAGAGAGAGAGAGAGGAAGTGATTTATAGTGAGAAGTGATTGAAAGTTATTTATTGGAGTGTTAAATGGCACAACACAGATGTATTCACCATCTTCATTAATCTCAGTAGGGAAATTTTATTGACTAATTATCAGTGAAGAAGAGAGAGGAAGTAATTGAGAAGCAGAGATTCTTTTGAGTCATTGTAGAGGTGGTGTTAATGTATGATGCCACAGCCTGGACATTAACTAAAACTCTTACAGTCTAAACCTGATGGAACCTACACTCAGATGCTGAGATCACAGATCCATGGAGCCATCTCTGATATTTCTACAATCTTGTGTAAATGAAGAATATGCTTTGCAGGACACTGCTAGTGAACAAAGCAAGAACTCACAAGTGAGCTACTGTTCTGGACACCTAGCCTTGGAGCAAGATAAGTTGGTCACCCAGCAAGCACTTATATTGATCAGTTATGTTATGACAAAGAATGCTTCCCGAATGACCTTGATGCAGGATTGTGATGATTGGTGTGATACTCAGGAATGTTTGAGCAAGCTTGACCAAATAAATAAAAAATGAAATTTCTTTTAAAATAAGAAGAATTTTCAGAGAAAAAGAAGCAATTAAAGAATTATGAAAATATATACCCTATGATATTTTGTGGTACAATTTTTTTTTCAAAATATGGTAATGGCAATGGTAATATTAGCCATTTCCTTATAAGGAAACATTTGGCATTCATTGGCTGAGCATCCAGTACTTCTATTTGTTGTAATTTATAAAATCTTTCTCTTAAAACAATTTTCCAGGATAATAGGTTTCTCAAGTCCAGTAGCTGTTATCACACTTTACAGTGCTGATGGGGGTTTCCTTCCTAACCTTTTATTTGAAGAAGTGTGGAATGTCAACATCTCAACTATGCCATTATTTTCTCTTTGAGTTACATGTGCTATCCATTTTAATTGTTGCTACTGTTGGCAGTCCTCAAGTGATGTGGTTTCTGTTATTTTGTACAGTTGTTTGTGATTTTGTAGCATCAGTCCACAAGGTTCGAAGAAGTGTGATTTTTGCCAAAATCTACAGGTTTCACTTGCTCAAGTCATTTTTAACTATTGATCTGAGAAAAAAATTATATACAGCTAGCAGTTTAGATATTTCTGGATGAGTTTAGTGTCATGCATGACATCCATATCAAAGTTTCAATCTGATGAGTATATTTAAGAACATTACTCAATTTTTCAGGTCAATATTTTAGTTTTGTAGCATCTTTAATTTCAAATTATTATATTTAATTTTAATTTTTTAAATTATTCATCTTTAATTTCAAATTACTATAATCTTTGTGTCTTTGGCACTAAATCAGTTTCATTTAGTTTACCTATATTCCAGTATTATAATGATAGGTTAAAAAAATTAAATAAATTCCTGAAAAGAAACTAATAAATAATAATCTCTTCCAACAATATGAAGTGGAGGAGGGTGTAAAAAAGTGAAAAAACGAAATCATCGTTATTCCAGAATAATAGTTTGATAAAAGAACTCAAAAACCCGAACATCCGCGTTGAAGCGTTTAAATCTAACTCCTGACACTAAAGATGGCGTGTCGTCTGATTATCAACTCTGTGTGAAATAAAGGTCTGTTGTCTAACTCCAAGATTAGCAACGAATATGAGTTTCTCTAATCAAGGTAAGTGTTACTGTTAAGGGATTAGAAAACAAAACATTGTCAAAGCACATTATATAAGAATACCTGTCGATTATTATTATTACATAGAAATTCTGTAATCAATGAGAGAAAGAAAGGCGAGTTTGGTTTTCGTTTATTTTTACACTGGAAGACAGTCAAGACTCAAGAGCAAGACGTTTAAAAAAAAAAACAATTGTCTATTATTTTATCTCTGTGTCTGGTGACTTTTGTTGTGTTTGTTTTTTAAATCATGATTTATTTAGAAATATTTTTGTCTACAGAGATAAAAGAGAAGGGTTATTTTTATTATAAAACTGGCTTTTCTTCCCTGTTTAGTGTTTGTGACTTGAGAAAGAAGTGTGTTGTTTGTTGTATCATTGTCTTGCCAGCGATTTCTTTTTATTTTATTTTTTTTATATTAATTTATTATAAACCTGTTTTATTTAAGGTTTTTTAGCGTCATAATAATTTAGTTTTTTGTATTGGATAGTAAAGTTTTGACAACCCGTAAAGAGCAAAAAACAAGCTTGAAAATTGCTAAACTAAAATTAAAAAGAAACCAAACTAACATACTACTCTGAACTGAAGCATCATTTCTTGTCTGATTGTCTCCGGAACATTTTCTGGCAAAGCTATCCGATATCCCTGGTTGTTTTTATATTTCTAAAAAATAAGTTGTTGTAATACATTCTTTTTATGAAAATTTTCAACAACTGGAAGAATTAATACCGTCAAAAGTTTAATAAAATGAGACATTGTAAGATTACAACGAAATTTTTCATGTTTCTTCTGTGTACATTTTCAACAAAGGCGCTTTTTAATTTTATGGCGAAACGAAAATTTAACTTAATTTCTTGGATTTTTGCTTTTTATAAAATTTATTTAGAAAGGTTGAAAATGAAATAGAATGAAATATTATCTTTTTGACCCCAGTCTTAAAAAAAAATTAGAATTATATTTTTTTTAGACGGCTATTTTATTTTTAATGTTTTGTTTACAAATACTACCCAGCGCACTTGCAATATTACGTCATTGTTGTTCGTTTTTTTTTTCCCTGTTTTTGATTTTTTGTTGTTTTTTTGCTTATTGACATAGCCATATTCCATAATCCATATATTAATTACAAAAATTCAGCTGTTCATAGGATTGCAATAAAAAAAAACCCACGAACTCCTTTAAATTCTCATCTTTGATCAGAACAATAAACGCTTATGTTTCTTTATTTCGTTTTTTTTTTGTTTTTTTTTTTTCGATATTGTGGCTCAGTGGTAAAGCGGTGGACAAATTTTTAGTTTTAGGTTTGATGTTTCTTTAGAGACTATTTAATAATGATAATGCCGGTTATCAGGCTATGAAAAATTGATTCCTTGAATGTTAAAATTATGAAACTCCACATTTTTACGTTTGTAAAATTCACGATACCTAAGAAGAGGTGATCCATTTTTAATGCACACATGTCGGGTCGGATCCTACTAACTAGCATGCTGCTACTAAAAGTTTTTTTGTGGCTGTCGTATTGCTTTGTCAGGACAAAAGTCATTTATTTGCATTTTTAGGTTTGATAAATTCGCTATTATCATATTTTTTATTTTTAGCATATTTTTAACCTGACGAGGAGAGTCTACTACTCCAGATGTTTTTTGTTTTATTATTGGAAATTGTTCACCACTTTTAGGTCCATTATTGTTGCAACTGTTGACATCAGTAGCAAAAAATGAAATCGTTAATTTCAACTTTGTTGATTGATACTTTTTTTTTAGTTTGAAAACAATATATTCACTGCCTTTAACTATATTGCTACCTTCAATTTAGGTTTGAAAACATTTTAGATATTTTTTTGAAATAAAGGATTTAAACTTCGTTTTTGTACGAAAAAAAAAAAACTATGTAAAAATGGTGGAAATACTATACTTTTAAAAGTAAAACTATAAAGAAATAGTAACAAATTCCATAAAAAAGACCCTGAAGTTTTAAACATTTGGTATTTATTTTAAATCACTTTTTGTGTCAATAAAAGATCAAAATTGATGAGCCATAAAAACGTTATGACGAGAGATTGTCACAATTTATGTTAAAAAAAAAAGCAATTTATTTTTATGTCCAGTTCACTTCACACTTGACGACTTTGAGATAAAATTTGCTCTGAATTGTCTACTGCTTTTAGTCATATAATTAGTCATCTATATTGCATACTTTATTAGATAATGCTATATTTACAGTAGATATTCATTTCAATACATCATGTCATTGTGACTCTGTTTCTAACACGTGTCCCATGTTGAACAGATTTCTTTTTTTTTAAACAACATTGCCTACTGTCTTGCTAAGATTTTGGTTTATTTGTTTAATGACTTCATCAATTTCTGATATATATTTCTTTCAGGGTGTTAAAAATAAATTTGGTGAAAAATATAAAATTTCATGTTTATCGACCCCCACTTTTATCTTTATGCTGATAAAACAAGAATGAAAAAAAGTAAAAAGGCACAGCAAAAGATGTGCCAATTTTTTGTGCTTTGATAGCCAATGTCCACATCACCTAATAACTTTTCAATCGTACTTTTTAAACTTATTCTTCTACACGCGATTCAGGCTTGACTTAAAGAAATTTAGTCTATTTTATTATTAAATATGACCATAGTTATTCTTCATTTTTTTTTTTTAATAAGAATTTGCTGTGTCATTTTTAGTATTTATTTATTGAAAGAAATGATTCTGTTTTTTGTCGTAGGAAATCTTTCTAAATATGACATTTTTCATTATAATAAATCAGAAATCTTTTGGTGCAGTATGATTCAGAAGTATATTTCAGTTTTTAAATTCTGTTAAATATTAATCTAAATCGGTCATAAGATAAAAAAACAAATAGGAAATGTTTACAATCTAATTCTAATATGTTTCACTTTTATTAAAGTTTTGTCAGATATTGAGAGAAAACAGACAAAAACACAGAATTTTGGTATTTTCAATTTTGTTTGGTTTGATTCTCATTGGTCAGTCATGTATCACATGCATTAAAACTGTAGATAATCTCTATCTATAAAAGGCAGTGTGTGTGTGTGTGTAACAAATGCATGGCTGCAATTTTCAACAGATTTGCACCAAAATTTACATGCACATGCTCCAAGACCGACCTTGCATTTCCCAACTCTCATCGATACTGGAAATAATCAATTTTTTCATGCTTCTACGACAGTTTTCATGTAGTTTGTGGCCATTTTGTACTGGTCAAAGTGAGAGCCAATAGCTGGCTGCCACGAATAGGCAGGAAGATTCTATTGACCAGCGTGAGAGCCAACAGCTGACTGACACGAATGTTAACTAGCATGCTAGCATGCAAAAAAAAAGTCGATAGCTGCATTTGTCACAAGTGGGAAAAATTTAAATCTGCATGGCACTTTACTCCAATTGGCTCATTCGCTTGCTTAAATTCAACGTTGATTCTGATTCCGCAGAACTGGGTTGGGTGTGAAAAAGTATTTGTTGTTAACATTCTTTTTTCATTCGGTTTTTCCAGTTACGAGTCCTTTTTTAAAGCTGATCGTTTTGTGTTCATTTTGTTTAGTTCTTTTTTCGTAACAGATTTAATGTTTAGTATAGAGCTTTGCAGTGTGAGATAGGCAAGAAATAAAGCATGTAGTAACATCAGCACAGCAAAGGAAACTCCTTTAAAGGCAAGGAAGGGCAAAAATATTTTAAGTCAAGTGATAGCAATTGCTGTATGAGTTGTACGATTTTTGAATCAAGCACGGGCAACACTGGGCCATGCTGCTAGTTTTATATATACATATATAGAAATAGCTTCAGATTAATAGAATACCACCACACTGCACCAACTGACCACATAAAAGTGAAAAGTAAAACATTAGAACTCCTACTAGACACACACATAATAATAGCTGGCCACTCGTATCAAGGATACCTGTCTACTAGGGCAGTTAGCCAATTCCTTTTACAGATTCTTGCTCAGGCACATTTGTGTTTGTTCAACACCCACAGCCAACCTGTGGTTTATACTGCAACTATGTTGAGCAGACCTTAGTTACAGTTTCTGGGAGAGAGTGTCTTATCTAGAATGATCAACAATCTGAACAACACCAGCACACTTAAACCCTCGGTTACAATGACTTGTGACTTTGTGCTAGCACAGCTATCGATGGCCCCAAGTGTTCCATCTACCCAATTTCACTCACAAGGCTTGGGTCATCCCATAGTTTTGGTTTACAAGCACTTTCCAAAGGTGCCACACACATATACACAATTACAAATACACATTACCATCCTATGCCCACTTAGACATATTAGAATTTTTACAAACTTACATACATATAGAATTATCTACGATTATAATGCATGTGATACATGACTGACCAATGAGAATCAAACCAAACAAAATTGAAAATACCAAGGTTCTGTCTTTTTATCTGTTTTCTCTCAATCTCTGAATAATCTTTAAAGAATGATGATAATACACCTTTTATCATCGGAGCCAAATCTTACAATGGGAAAGGAAATGGATGTAATTTATGTCTTGTTGAAAAATTAAGTTATTTTGAAACACTTAATCCTAGCTTATTAAACAAGAGAAATGAATTGATGGTTACATGTAGACCTAAAGATAAATATCTGCTGAAATGTGTTGATCCACATTAAGTTTTAACTTAAATTCCTTTGTTTTTTTGTTTTTTTTAAGAAACAAGTAGTCTCCCTTTATGTTTAATATAAAAATAATAAAAATAATATTCACAACTCTAAAATATATATATTTTTTTTTAACACATGTATGTACAATTCCTGTTTATTTTAAATGCCAAATATATTTTTTAAAATTAAAAAAAACTGTAATCCCAGTATAATATATACCTGCACCAACACTTCAATAACCAGTTATTTTTAAAATTTAAATTATGTAACGGTCAGTCTATACTCAACACATGAAGACTGCATTATGCATGAAACTCCCAGTTGTGCTATTGTTGAGGGATAATATATGTGGTTGACTGGGGCAGGAAATGCCAAATGGCTTGTAAACTTCAATGCCTCCAAAATGAAATGCTCTCATTTACCCACCACAGAAAACCCTCCTTGCCTCTCATCAGAATGGCTGATGCCCAACACCATGAGAGCACCTTGCTGCACCTGCTTGGTCTCACGCTGTCTGCTGATATGAGGTGAAAAAAATATAGACTCAATAGCTTCATCTACTGCAAGGAAAGTTGGTTCTTTGTGTCGTGCCAGAAAGTTTTTCTCACCCGAGTCCATCCTTCAAATCTATAAATCAGCCATCCATCCTTACATGCAATATTGCTGTCATATATTATCTGGTGACTCCGCTGTAAGTCTTGAGGTCTTTGACAAAATCCAGAGATGTATATGCAATGTGATAGGTCCTGATCTGGCATCTAGTCTATAGTCGCTTTTTCACAGATGTGCTGTGGCTTCCCTCTGTCTCTTCTGTAAGTATTTTCACAGCAACTGTTACAATGAGTTGCTTTCCCTGGTTCCCAGGCTGCATGAATTTAAGTGAGCTACAAGGTTGGCATCTCGGTCCCACCCTTTCACTGTCAAAACAGTTAAATGTAACCGTCTCTTCTACTCAAACAGTTTCTTCTCTCATACTTTCCATCTGTGGAATTCTTTTCCTCTTACTTGCTTCTCTGATAACTGTAATCTTCAAATATTCAAATATAATGTCAATCAAATTCTTCTGATACCTTGATTTTGTTCTCCGTCCTTCTCTTTATCCTCTCCCCAAACATGCCTCTTTACTATGTAACCCCTGGTGTGTTAGTGGCACTCCCGCCTTGCTTGTGATGAAATGCTTAAAAAAAATATAATTTTTTTATTTCATTTCTTTATTGCTTCCTTTCTATTTTAAATTAAATGTATTAAGCAAAATAAAAATTAGTTTTAATCACACCAGAAATTGTTTTAACTTATAAGAATTAATAACATCACATGTGTTTTTTTTTCATCAGTGCCCATAAAAAGCAAGATTGATATTACATGATCCCATAATGATACCCCAGAAAATGTAAAATAGAGAAATAATTGAATGTATAATAGTTGCTGAAGATTAGTATAGTGAAAGCAGAAAATTTTTTCAGAACTTCAAAAAGATCTCAGCATGACCTCTGAATATATATTTCAACACTTCCTGTGATTTTTTATATCTGATTGAATAAATTACAAACATTATGTTTGCTTATTTTTATCAGAATTCTTTCATATTCACAAATATTTTTCTGTATATTACAATTAAATAGTGAGAATTACTTTTATTTCCCGAGTACTTTCCATCTCTTTCTGAGATCATCAGGGGTGCAACTGGTAAGGCAAAAAACTGTGTCGCTATCCATTATGGAATTTTTTTCTTTTGCATTTAAATGCTATGGCTGACAGTTATTCATTTTGGAATTTTTTCCTTTATGTTGTAATGTCATAGTCAAACATGCATTAAAGCATGAAAACTGTTCTTTTTATAGGCATTTTAGAACATTATTACAATATTTGTAGCTGATCCTATTCAATGTCAGCTTCAATTTTTTTAATGAAGTACTTGGGAAATAAAAGTGATTCTTACTGTTACAATGGATTTCTTGCTTTATTTAATTGTAATATATTGAAAAATATTCATGAATATGAAAGGATTATGATAAAACTAAGCAGGCATAATGTTTGTGATTTATTCAATCAGACATGCCTAAAGAGAATTTGCTGCCTAAATACACAAATATATATATATATATATATATATATTATATATAAATATATATAATTATAAAATAGGTAATTCCAAAATAGTAGCCGTTGCTGCTATTAACTCACCGCCCTTCATTAATGAATTGAGCACTCTGGCTGCTAACGTTTGTATACATTTGTATATCATACATTACAATTTCCCTTTCTCTGCTGTGCCGCAATAGCTTAGGGGTAGGATCTCTGACTGATGCCAAATCGGTTGGGTTTCGATCACGGCTTGAAGCAATCAAATGTCTAGCTACACTGATGAGCTTTGATACAGTGAAACCGGTTATATATATATATATATATATATATATATATAATATATATAAAATAATATCCATTACTCATACATCTTCCTCATGTTTTTTGTAATTTCCTACTTTGCCTCAAGTGAAATCATATATTTCAACTTTTCATCACTGCTCTTTGCACTTGCTTTTTTTGGACCCATGGTGTCACTAAAGCAATTTTGCAAAATAACGGCAAAAAGACCTAAAAGAACAGAGATCCTTCCAGGTACATGTGTACTGCAAGTTGAAATACTCTCAAAACTTGGTGCTCACTGTGGCTCGTATCTCAAAAAACTTGTATGTCAGTACACTTGTATCTCAAGGCATTACTGTATTTTTATCCTATATTAGCTTACCATTGTATTGTTTTTTGTTGGTTAAATTTTAGTTTACTCATTTTGAATAAGAACACAATAATGTCAGTTTCTATTTATTTGTAGTGTGAGTAAATTAGAATTTGATTCAAGCAACTTTTTAAATTTTTGTTCAGATGAAAACCGAGAAGATCTACGAAAAACCAAAATTACCAAAGAACTTTCTAGAACCTTAAAAGCTTTGCAAGCTCAACAACTATTGGATGAACCAGTCTACAGGTTAGTAGAAAATTTTGATACAGTGAAAAGAATTGAAATTTCCATTTGTTTTTGCATATTTTATTATTTAGCATTTTGTCTTTTTCGAATATATAAAATAGCATGTGTTGATTCATTTTCTATGGCTTATCAATACTTTGCAGATTATTTAAAGCCAGTAACTATTTTTCAATTGTAAAATTTTTTTTTTTTTTTTTTTTTTTTTGAGATAATAATGATTTAGTAATACTGCTAATTTAATTGTACATGTGATAGCACTCATATATTCTGTGAAAATTCTATTCTATCTGTTCATTTTTTATATAAACTGTGCTAGTCAATAAAATAATAGTTGATCCTATTATGAATTTTAGATCAAATATTATTAAATCACAAACAGAACTTGCATTTACATAAAAATATGTAAGTAAATACCAGGAACAATAAGGAAACTTTAAATATTCTTTTAATTGTTTATCTCTCCAAATTGGTTATAATTATAAAACACTTTTGTATCTTTGTATTAAAAAAATACAAAAATGATGAATTTAAATAGAGACTCAAGGAAAAGATTTTGATGCTGGTTATGTTATTGATTGCATCTGTTATTATTTATTTATTTTTAAATATTTATTATTGAAACAAAGTTGCAATGATAAATATAAGTAAGGAAAAAACATTTGAACTGACTAAACAAGAATGTTTTCATATTTTTTTTAATACAAATTTGCATTTCTTAAAAAGGATAATAGAGCATGGCTGAAACAATAAAATCACATCTAGTTACAAGTTTAATTTCCTAAGGAAAAAAGTTAATGTAGGTTCATTCACTGTTGAGTGGTACATTTTCTTTATGCTTCTAGGCCAGTAGATATCAGTTTTATTACTTACAAAAAAATAAATAAAAAAGAAACTGGATGTTTACTCAAATGAAATAACATTTCTGGTAATAAGAATGCAAAGTCGACATGATTTTCTTTAGTAAACATGTTGTCTAATCTTTTGGCTTTAAATTAATATATTGAATAAAACTTCTATAAAGGTATATACAACCTATTTCTTATAGACAAAACTTCTTAGGCCTCTTGCTACTCTATTGCTATTTCCATAAAAAATATTCTGACGAGCTACATTCCTTAGTTCCACCAGTTCAGACTATCACAGCTTTTCTCTTTGTATTCCATTAGTAGGAAGGAAGTTCCATTTGGACAGTTTCTTTCCACAAACTGCTACTTTGTGGAACACTCCTGAGAGGATGCTTTTCTAATTACTGCAATTTTAATCTCTACAACCATTATCTTGCATATCCTCATAATCTGCACTTTATATCCATACAACAACTTTCTACCTTGAGTAGCTCTTCAGCCTTGTATTTGATGATAAAAAAAAAGGTTAAAAGACTTTTATTTATAACTAGCAGAGTACCTGTAAAAAACAAAAAATGACTATTATTTATGTAATGATTGGCATTTTTAACTTCGATCAGTGTGGCATTTTTGTATTCTGTGAAATGTGTTATGCACATTGCATGTTAAAGGTTCAAGAAGACTGGTTGAAAAACTAAGGGGAATAAATATACCTGATAAACTCATGGCTAATTTAAATGTTGAATCCATTTGCACTGGAAGACCTATTGGTAGATGCTTGGGTCTTTTAAAAGGGCATCTAATGCAAACAAGGGTAGACATCTCTTTGCCAATTGCTGGGATTGTAAGAATCTGCTGATTCCTCAAAAACTGATGCTATTTCAACTTTTAACAATAATTTTTATAAACAAAAATTTGAATTGCTGGTAGGTTTGCATCAAGTGGGGCTTTAACATATATCTTCTTAAAATTTCTTGAATCATGTCCTTTCCTGGATATTTTACCTATCCCCATAAAATTATTTCACCTGACCTTGTAGCTAAATTAAACAAAGTTGAAGAGACAATAGACTTCACTTGTTGTTGTAACCCAGGGAAGGTTACTGACTAGAATAATCGCATGAAGGTTGGTAATGAACGATAATACTTAGGACAAGAACAACACATATAAGATTCGCCAGCAGCCTGTAGAAGAAGTAATCAACTGCTAGAAGTTAATCAAGTGAATTCAACAATGAATCTTCAACTGCAGACAAACAAAGTATTTACTACTGTATTTATGTGAATGGGGACATACCCACTATCAGCCATAGGTATGCTACAACACTTGTGAGACAGAAACAAGCAATAGTTTATTTTTTCTGGATGTCCTGTTGCATTGTTATATCAATGGCCTGAGGCTGGGTGCCCATTGCAGATTGACTGATGGAGGTGATCTCCTGAATTTCTATCCTCACCATAACAACAAAATAAAATCTGGAATAATCATTGGATTCTATTTAAGAGCAATCAGAATTTGTAGCCCTCAGTGTTTATATAAAGAGGAGAAATACATTGAAAATGCTTTTGGATTCTTTCAATACTCTAATTATTTCATATTCAATGAGAAAGAAAATGCACCTAAGGTATTTCAAAATGGGAGAGTGGATCGTTCTGGCAGACCCAATGAGTCAAGGTACCCACAAACTCTATCAGAGCTGTGGTTGAAAAGAATTTATCCCAGCTTGACATAGGGGTTTGTCATTATGGCTGCTTCTAAAGCAGTGGCAGATTTAATTAATACAATGTAAAAACTTGGGAGAGGAATTTGCTCTATCATCTGTGGTCATTGTCACTGGGGATATATAGAAGAAATCTCAAGTTATTTAAATAAAAGTTTACATGAGCACAAAGAGAGTCTTTTTTGTGATGACATACTCAGTGCATTGGTTGCTCACCGTAATGAGTCTGACCTTGGTTTTGATTTGAAAAATGCTACTTTAATTGAAAGAACAGTTTACTAAGATGAAAGAGTATAGAGTGCGCTTTGATCATTGGATCATCCACAGTGAGTTTGCAGCCAGGTTCTTGTGCCATTTCACCTTTCCTGGAAGATCTTTTATCACAATATAGAATATTTAATAACTAAAGTGATGAAAATATAAAAAGTGGGGTAAGAAACAATGAAATCATCTGAACTGTGTGTCCAGGTACATGCTTGGAGGAGAAAAAAAAGATTTAAATTAAAAAATTTAAATGCAAAATTTCAGTATCCCCTCCACTTTCTGTACATGTATGGTCACATCAATATAGACATCACTTTGGTTTGATAAAGTCTTGTATGCCGAGATATATGTCACATGGGAAATTTTTTTCCACTTTGTCATAGATTTTCCTAAAACATATATGTAATTTATATATGTGGATTTTTTAAATTATTAATTTCTTTTCCATATATATTTTCTATAAGGAGTTGCAGCTTAGAGTGTATGTTAAATAATGACTTCATAATCTCCAAGTATTTTAGGTTTAAATCCTGACTTATATTTTCATTTTTTGTTTCTGCTGTTTTTTTCTAAAATTAACAAACTTTCTGATATTTGTGTTTGTTTCTTTATGTACTATTTCATAATTTGTTTTGCTTTCTATTTTTTTTGTTTACTATATTTAAAAAAAATAAATTACTTTTTTGCACTTCTAAAATGTGTAATGTATATAATGATATGTTTATATACATACATTATAAATGTTCCATGGGTGATAGTGAGGACAAACCACTCTCTATAAAATGATTGCATTGCATGTGTCTCAAATAGCCTCTGACAATTACGTCCAGCTCCAACTTTGAGAATTGGCAAATGCAGAAAACTGGCACTTCATAACCAGTTGCTTTAGGTAGATGGAGCTTGACAGTCTAGGAAGGCAGTCCATCTCGGGGAAGGAAAACCTTGATTTTAAACCTCTGCTGCCTTGTGGTCATATCCAAAACATGGAAAAAGCTATGGAAGTAAATCCAGACAGAAAACCCAGAGTTGGCTGTTGTCGACATTTCAGCAACTCCTGTAGCCAAGTCATCACCAAATGTAATACCTTGTATTACTTTGATTCTTGTTGGTGGATGAGGGGGGGGTGCATGTAGTCTGGGCTGCACATGGCTTCCATATACCATCACTCTATACTGTACCCTGGAGAGGTAACGTTTGCCTTGCAAGATCCCTGTATGATCACCAAAGTTAAGCAATGTCTAGCTTGGTTAGTACCTAGATGGGTGACTGCTTGGGAATAACAGGTGCTGTAAGCTCGGATGTGTGGGTGGTGTAATGGATAATATTTCAGAATTGTTAATCAGAGAGCCAAGTTCCAATTCCAGTTGGGTTTGTTATATTCAGTTACATGCAAATACATTTGGTAAAGGTATGACTCCACCTCTTCTCCCTCCAGCTATAGGTTAATTAGTAAAACTTGTATCACTAAATCACTTATCTCAAAAAAATTCTTACATGCTAAAAAAATATTTTCTGGCTTTAAATAACCTGCAAAGGGTTGATAAGCTGTAGAAAATGAATGCGTCAATCAATCAAAACAATCGTGCAAAATCTTGATTACAAAAATACACTATGTGAAATTAAATTTACGTGATGTCTTGTTTAGTTTTTCATGACCATTATATAAGATTTGAGCCACTGCACTCCCATAAGTGGACAGAGGCTAGGCTTGAACACTGATCATTGGCACTAGTGAAAAATGCATAACTAATTAAAAAAACTTTACCATTTACTGCTTCATAATGAAGATTTTCTTGAAAAAAATATGTCTATATAAATATGGTTTATAATATTATAAAAGTGATTACTTTTTGATTTTTAGTTTAGTTTTAGCTGATAATGAACAGTTAGCTTTCTTTGAACAGGAATAAAAAAGAAAAATTAAAATATTTTGTCGGTGATATAATGAGGCTGAAGATAGTAAACTCAAGTTAAAAAAATGTTTTTTGTAAATAAAAGAAAATGTTAAACATGTCCAAATTTACAAGAAAAACATTGTTCCTTTTGATGAAACCTAATTTTTAACCAAATTTCTTTCAGCAATGAATTGTCAAACAAATTATGTGACATCCTGGAGGCCATTTTTCTTCATGGATTGAAAGAGCCAGTTGCCCACAAGGTAGCTAGCAAATGCTTTCTTTTCTCTACAAATCCTTTTTTGAATGTTTTCTTTTTGAATTTTAAACTCTATTTTGCTTCTTTCTCTTAAATAATCTATACTTTTGGTTGATATTGTATAAAACCATCTTTTAATTCAGGATTATATTATTGGTTGATCAAAAAGTTCAATGAAATAAAAATAAGACAATTAAGACATTTCATCATTCAGTTGACAGAACAACTTGTCATTTTGTTCCACTGTCTTCTGCCATCTGTTAGCCAATTTAATAATTATATCCACACAGATCTTTTGATCTCTGTTGCCTTTTGCAGTATTTCAGAGAATTGAAATATACTTCATTAAGTGAATTTCTGCAAATACTGGAATAAATGTTAATCTGAATGTTCAGATTTTGGTGAATATGGCAGAGAAGTGAAAATGTCTAAACCAAATTGTAACAAATTTTTACCTGGTCATCAAAGAAACATGTCTAGTCTTATCTTGATGGAGTTTTACATCCTTTCTCTTAATTAATTCTGGACATTTTTTTGTCTATTGCTATTTGTATATTTTCTAATTGAGAGAAGTACTTGTTTGAGTCACTCCTTTACTTCTCTGGGAAAAGCTCATAGTACAAGAATCCTCTCCAATCCCACAATATAACAAAGTGTCATTTTCTTTAGATGAAGACTGTTTGGTTTGTTGTAGTCCATTTCACTTGCCCCGTAAACTATTGCAATCCATGTTGTTCTAAAGTAACCATTTTTCATCATTCATCTGAGTTTAAAAAAACAAATTTTTTTATTTTTAAATAGCAGATCATATATGGAAACACAATCCTGTAAGTGTTTTCACTTGATATGTGGATCATAGACATCAGTGACTAACATAATCAAGTTAGTGCCAATGATTTTCAACACTTGGATATTTTAAGTTCTGTTGGCTCTCACTTGTTACATAATGTTAACTATTCTCAAGGTCTAGATTTCATCACAAACAACCTCAACTTGCTTATCAAATTGTAGAGCATTATTCAGTTACAAATTCTCAGCACAAAACTTTGCATAACATTTGACACATTCGATCATTCATAGTATGTCGTGAACTGCATAATTTTTTCATTTGTTTGAATTTATATTTTTATCTTTCTTATATTTCTTCTATCTTTAATCTTATGCCAACATTTTAAAAAATAGGCTCTGATGTGACAGCTGTCACATTTCAATTAAAAGGGATCTTTTTGAATGAAGTTAACTAAAAATGAACACTCCTAATGATAAAAACAGAACATAATTTTGGGGTCAAACAAATAAAATTAAAGCAATACAAAATGGCAGAAAATTATCAAACATTATAATTAACTTATCTAAATTTGATTTAATTTTTTTTATTTTACTACTTTCAATTAAAAACCTGTATCATTATATTACAAATAATTACTAGAACTTACAAATCTATGCTGTTAAAGATGTGTGGCTATCTTTAACAATTTCTAATTCTATTCTTCTGTACCAAAAATTCCACTTGCTTATGACTTGCTTGTTGCTGTGCTTTCAACTTTAAAAACAATTTAGTGTGTTCTTCTTTCATCAATAACATATGAAGCATATCTTTTGGTATCTTGATGTCCTTCTTGATATCAGCTCTTTATACCAAATTTGCCTAAAATGTTTCAATCTAGATTATTAGTTATTCTAAAAAGCACAAGGGATACTTTCAGAGGATCTTCTGTATTTGTAATTGAAAAGCAGAATAATGCATGAGTGATATTGTCTATAATTTGAAGGAAAGTCATTATCATTCAAAGAATCTTTCAGACAATTGAACTTATTTTTAGTTATTTTGTTCCCATAACTTTTCAGTTGATTGTTGTGAAAATGTGATTTTGTTTTTTTATTTATTTAATCATAATGAATGGATATGACTGAATACAAAAATTGTGAGTACCTTGATTTATGATTAACAGTTATTTCCACTTTGGTCTCGATTCTAACTTGAAAGTATAAAGTTTTAAGACGTGATAAATTTTGGAAAAAAGACAGACTTTTTGAATGCCAAAACCTTTTTAATATAGAATTTTTGAAAGGAAAGTATTCTTGTGAATTGAACTGAAATATTAAATAAACCTGAATATATATTTGAAATGTTGTATGGTACATTAATGCTCTAATTATGATTAGAAATAAGAATTCAATAAAAGACTGTTTTTTGATGTAAAAGATGAAAAAGTGTCCTTAACCTGTATCCTTTCTGGTATCAGTTTAAATTGACCCCCCCTTTTTTTTCTTTTTTTTATATCTAAACTAATTAAAAATGAAAACTTCTCTGAAATGCAGAACAATTAAAAGGTTGTCATTTAAAATGAAAATAGGAACTTGTAAGCAAAAATGGTCACAATATATGGAAAAAAATGTTTCTGTTTAAAGTGACACCAGCCAGATATGACTTGAATAAAGTTTTATCTTCAAAGTATTAAAATTTCCTTTTTAAGAAACAAGTTAATTCTTCTTCTGTCCAAGTTCAACATACTGAGTGACATTTGTTCCCATGGAAACAACATATCTTATTTATTCTCACTTATGTTAACATATTTAAGTGGTTTTTGAGCCCCTACCACTAAATAATGCTCTGAAATTGATTCAGGTACTTTCGATGGAACAAAAAATTTTTTTTTTTTCAATTTATCATTTTTTTATTTTAAAATTTGTATCTTGGTATCTTTCTTTTTGCACTAATTATTTATTTACATTTTTTTAAAGTCAAATTGTGTATATTTTTGTTATTCTAATTTTGGATACTTTTATGACTGAGTAGTCATACAAGACACCCTAATTACTGTGTGCTAAAATAAAGATGTATCAAACATGAATGTTTTTTTACTTGTTAATGTTTTATTAATACCTGTATAATCTATAGTCTGCATATCATGTTTTCTCTTGTGTAGGTAATTTTATTAGAGCAATTTTGTATGTTGTTTAAATGTCAATTCAGCTTGCAAATGTTGCTTATCTTCAGTTTGTATTTGTTTCTCTCTATAAGTAGTTTAAGTCTGTTGATGGTGAGAGTATCCATTGTTTTGTTTTTTGAAAGCTATAAATTTTCTCTCATTTTCTTTGTAACAATTTATATGGTCCAGTATAATTTGAACTGAAGTCTCTTTTGTTGCAAGCATTATGTATAAACCATAACTGTATAACATATAAGTCTCTAGATATGAAATGTTGCAGAGTAGCTTGTCTTGTTGGTGTGAACCTTAACTGTAACATTTCATTCTTCAGGTCACTTTTAAATATAGTTGGTTTTTAAACTGTGTTATTTAAAAAACAATTGTGTGAGAGAGGCCCTTGAACACAAGCTCTGCTAGGTTGCATGCTATATTTTAACTGATAGAAGCACAAGAGGTTCATTGTCAGTCCAGTCTGTTACATTGTATTATCTTTGTCTATGAAAACTTTCAACAAAGCAGTTTGTGCATGAATTTTGCACAATTCCCTTCATTTGTTTTACTTGTAAGAATTGATTAAATTCTTCAAACAATGTTGATTGAAACTGAATGCTCCTGTCAATAGTTATTACAGCAGGTACACTGAAGTTTGATACCCAGTTTGACAGGATAGCTAGTGCCATTGTTTTGGTACATATTTTTGATTGTGTGAAACAATCGACAAATGTATGCAAATCTTTTGATGGTAGTAAGGGTCCAATTATATCTATGAGTACATTCGTAAGACAAGCATCAATGTTCCTGGCAGTGCTTTTGCGTATCTATTTACTGCTAGCATTATTGACACTGTTGAGTCCATCTACATATTTTTATATTAATGTTTGGCCAAATAAACCTGTCACTAATTAATCTTAATGCTGAGCATTTGCTTGGGTGTAATAGATTGTAGAAATGATTAATGAGCTGCTTATGTAAACTTGGAGATACATATGGCCTGGCTGGTTTAAGACATGATGAATGATATAGGGTAATCTGTGAATTGCAGTGAAGTATTTTTTTTTTTTTTATAAAGATTTTCCTTGGGTATAGTTAATTCCACAAAGACAAAGATAGACACACTTAAAGAAGAGAAGCAACTCTATGACAGTACTAAATTCAACAGGTTTAATTTACAGAGGGGTGTATGCACAATAGGAAAAAAAAAAAAAAGGGGCTTGCAAATAATTTGCAGACTTAATTGTTAGAAGAGTTTCCAAGGAACAAGTGGGAGGATTTACAGCCTCGTTGCATCTGTATTCCATTAACATTAGAAAGGACTGTTCCAATAAACATGCGGTCATTACTATTGTTACTTGAAAAGGAGGAAGATTTCAGGATTGATTTTTAGTTCATAGCCCAAAGAAGGGATCCTGATTGGACAGTAATTAGCCAATCAGTCCTGGATTAGCAAGTGTATCAAGTTCAAGGTTGGGCACCTCGACGTGGTGTAATGTTTAGAAAGCTTGTCTTGCTAGACCAGTTACGAGTGAATTCAATCCTTGTGCCACATCTAAGCTGTGCTTAGAAAATCACTATCAAGTTCAAGGTTGATCTTTGAATGGTAAAGTGTTGACTCCCTTTACTATCACTTTAAAATTCTTATAATGTTCCCAAAAATCATATTTTTTGTTAGTTTGAAATGATGACATTAATTTTGGATTAATGATGAAGTGATCTTACCGAATGTGGCATGTGAGAGAGTATATGCTGTGACTCAGATTTATCCAATTATTTGCTGTATATAATAGATATACTTTGATATCAGATCCAGATATCTTATACTTGTCATTGGTGGTGGGCAACACATAGGTCAGTGGCTTATGGTTTGACAATACAAGGAAATGCCTGCCTTGCAATAAACACTTAAATTGTGTAACTGCCAGACAAATGGCAAGCAATTCATGTAAGAATGCGTCATAGTTTTTGTGTCTTTTTAGTTTGGCTGAAAAAAAAAATCAAATTAGCACCGTCTCTTTTACTAATTTCATGTGACTGTAGGAAGTAATATTTTGGTATTTGGTTCTTCTGAGTTATAATTGAGTTTAGTGTAATTCATTGAAGTGTTCATTGCATTTATAAAGAATGTTGTTGCTGTAAGATTTGATATTTTTTTGACTTGGTTTTAAAAGAGCAGTTAATGGTTGTAAAATATATAAATGGTTTTGAATGAAAAGTTGGAAATGTTTAATCTTCGTGCCCACAAAAATATAGTGTGTTAAAAGGATGCTTTTTCCCTTGACACCGCTATTATTTTGACTACCTTTACTCCTCTCTCTCAGTAATGATTAGAATTTTAAAAATGATAATTGTGCTCCTGTTGCCCCTTTTTAGTATGAAATTTCTGGATAATGGATAGTGTCCAGATACAGGAGGTACACACTTAATTCAACTTCTATGTTCACTAAAAATTTTATCCACTTTATTTGTCCATGATGACTTTATTTACATTATTCGGACTATTGTCCTCATCTTTGTCGCCATATTTATTACAACGTTTCGACCGTTGTATGCTCCGGCCTTCTTCAGGTGGTTGGAATGTTGAACTGAACCCTTTATTTTGCTCACTGGGGTAGACTGTTCTAGTTCCATGTGCCATGTTTAATGGATGTCAGTTGTCAGTTATCTTCTGTTAATTCCCCTCTCCAAGTTCTCTACTGCCTTATCCGGGTATTGAACTCACACTCTTTGGGTCCTGTCAATAGTGTACATAATACCTCATCTCATAAATATAGACAGATACTGAAGAATTGACTTTGTTTTTAATAAATTAACATTCTTCAGCTGTATTGCAAAAAGTCTCTCAGCTCACAGCTGTACCAGATCAAACTATACAATGAAAAACCACTTGGTAGGAATTGTTCACTTTATTTTTTTTTATCTCATAAACCAATTTTGTTTACTATGTTTTTATCAGTATATACTAACCTTATCTTTGTACAGCCCAAAGTCAAAGGTGGTTAGGAAGATTGTAGTGTGCCAAATAAGGCGTGTCTGCCTTAAATAAACATTCAACATCTTGGTTTTGCCTGGGCTTGAACATTGGCCATGAGCACTGTTATAGACAAGCGTATGGTTGCAAGAAAGAAATACGACAACAGCAGAAATAGATTTACATGATTTATTTCAATAGGAGCGTGTGGTTTTGGGACAGCTGCCTTGTGGTATAATTCATAAGTCGGCTGCCGATCTGGGTTGATCTCTCATAATAGTACTCGCTGGATAGTATGGCGCTACTGCTGCTGCTGACTCCCTGTGACAGATCTTTTCCCTGGCCTCCTGTTGACTGCATGTACTTCCCCATGTAACCCCTTTTATGGCGTTTTTTATGGCTTAACAGGCTCGAAAAACGACGCGAGTATAATTAGGAGGGAAGCTTTTTTATTGATCGAGAAATAGGAACACTTTAGAATATTATTTTATTTTTCGACCAGAATTGATGTGGCGGGCCTATGCGTAAACGACAATGGTCATTTTATGACACGGCCTTGTCCCATTCACATCTGGCTCTCGCTCTTGAGTATGTTAGTTTATTTGCCTGCAAATCGGCCGAGATATGTCTTATTTTATTTTATAACAGCACTGGTATGAATATATGCCATATATATATATATACTACACTGATTCTTGGCAAAAGTGATAATTCTTATGTAAATAATCCTAATACATGCTAGGGGTTCTATGTTAGTTTAATATTAAAAAAAAATAATATTTTGTATCAGTTATTTCTTTCATCAAAATTCTCATATCATGAGACAAAAGAAAATGTAAATAGAAAAAAAAATTGATTTCCATTGCACTTTGCTTTCTAACTTTTACATGAAACTAAAAAAAAAAAGTACCAAAGTTTAATTTACATTGATGTTTAATTTAACCAAGTTCATAATAATAATAATAGTAGTATTAGTATTGGTGGTATTTATTCAAATACTATAGCAAGAACATTTGATAAATGCAAATACAAAGAAAATATCAACTAATAATACTATAAGTAATTATTTGACTTAAAATTAAAAAGAAAATAGGTATTTTACGTTAGTTTATTTAAGAATACTTTTTCATTTTAAATAATTTTTTGTCTACATTAAAATTTGAAAAACAGTTATTCTGTTATTATTTTCTTTTACCGATTTAATGATTAAAAAAATAAATAAAAATATATATAAAAGTACTTAAAAAAAAAAAAGTACTTATGAGAAAACAAGGTTGATACAAAACTGTGTTTATCACTGGATTTACTGAAACTACTATTTTTTTTTTCATTTTACTTTTAAAAAATTATTAGTTTTTATTTGCTCAATTTTACTATCATGCATAATTATTTTTGATGTAATGGAATAACCTGTCACCCCCATGAGTGACTACACTATAGGTAGTAACTACCTATAAGTATCTGTAAGTCAATGGACTACAGAGACTAGCTGCGACCTGTTCCAGCTAAACAGTCAAACTCTCTGCCTTCGGGCCAAGAGGAGCCCGGACGAAGGCTCTGCCAAAGGGCAGTCTCGTTCAGGGAGGTAGACTGCCTCTGAACCCGTTTATGTGTTCAAAAGGGAATATTTTTGGCCGAGAACCCACGTTAAACCAGCCTTGTGCCACATGCAACCCTCATGGTGGGGTAGCTAAATATACTAGCTGGAATCAGTTGAGTACAACTCAGACTTACACAAGAACTACCAATCTTCCAATAGTAGCACTTATACTGGATTGACTTGCGACGACCTTGTACATAACTGTTACCTTTATTCTTATTGTACTGGTTTTTGTACAATAAACCTTTACTTATTTTATCCATCTTGTTTTTCAAGTATATATTCCTATTAGCATGTAATATAGCAGTTTTGTTATATTTTTGAATTTCTGTCAAGGATTAAAGAAAGCTTGTTTAAACAATTATCAGTTTTGTCAAAAAGATGAGTAAGTCTATAAAGAGAATCGATACTCAGTAGGTTATTTGCTTACCAATATTGACATTCTGAAATTCATTCCTTTTGAAGTTCTTTTGCTTCCTGGAATATGAGCATATGGCTGTGGGTGTAGAACAACTCAACTCTGCCGACCAAGCTCCAGGACAATTCAGTACCAGAAAAACATAACATTTTTATAACTGAATAAAAGTAATTTATTAAGGATTAAAAACTTAATTAGTGAATATTTTTCTTGAAATAAGACCTTTGAAAAGCATTATGTAAAATATGAACCAGTTTTTTGTTTTTAATTATTTTATTGCGTCTCGATTAAGGGACGAGCCTCGCAAAACGGAATGGCTCTTGCAGCGTGTCTCACTGGCCATGGTTTGAGGTAATGCTTTCTCCATCATTGCAGCTGGCTGAGGTTAGAAAAAAATTGTTTATAGTTACATTGTTCTGGAATTGTCATCAGTGGTCAACTGTACTTGTTTTGTTTCAATAAATTTTATGATTTGGTTTGGTAAAAAAAAAAAAAAATTATTTTTAATAAGGTAAATCATAAAGAAATTTATTTTTGAATAAAGTAAATTGACATATAAAAAATAAGAATTTCAATTTACTTTATTAAAAAATTACGATTTACTTTATTAAAAAATATTTAAAAACAAGTGTGTTTTATTGAATTATTTTTTATGTCAATTATAATATTCATTAATTAAGGTTTTAATCCTTAATAAACTACTTTTATTTAGTTATGAAAAAATTTACATTTTTCTGGAGCTGAGTTGTCCCAGTAATCAGTCAGCAGTGTTGAGTTGTCCCTTCCTGTATTGCTGCAGCCTGTCCCAGTTGGTGGTGGCTCTGTAATGGTATGGAGTGTGTTCTATTGGGAGTTTTCAAGAACTATTAGTGAAATTGAACTCTTTTGACAAGTGATGTTGTTGCAGAAACCTTCATATCCCTTTATGCTTGCCATATTTCCCAGTAGTAATGGCTGATTCCTATAAGATAATATCCATCAGGTGTGGGTTAACACAAAACTAGTTCCAGAAACATCTAGCTGACTTCCAGGTACTTCATTGGTCCCCTATGCTCACCATTGAGCTTGTATCAGATGCATTGCAGATCTCACTAAATTCCTGACAGCCACATCTAAAAAAAGCTCTTTTATCAAGAACCCTGGAAATGTGCCTGAATGGATATACTGATGAAACAACTTGAGTACCCTCTAGACTCCATGTCTCTTTCAATAATTGCCATTATTTAAGTGACAGAAGGTGCTACATATTATTTGGTAGATGTCTCTAATTGGTTGGTACTTCAGTTTATGATAGTAAATTATTCTCCTAATATAAAATATGTAATAAAATGTTGATAGGAATTGTACATTTGAGAAAGCCTTGTTGCATATATATTTAGTCTATTTTTAATATATATCTTATATTTTATATATACTCTAAATATCTTATTTTATATATACTCTAAAACCTGTAATATTTAATATCTCAAAATAGGTTTTACATCATTAAATTGTGGGTAAGAATACATCTTGATTTTTGTCTTGCCTTGTAAGAAATAATATGAAGACAGTTTTACTCACTGTATACATGCCAGCACTAAGCAAGCAAAATTTGGTCAGTTCAATAAGAAATTATTCAGTGCTATATGACCCATATAGATATCAATGTTTCTAGAAAATCATTCATACAAAACCAGTTTTTTTTTCTTTCTTTTTGAGTAATTAGAACTTCTGTTTTGAATTTGGTTATAGAAAAATTGAATTTCTTTTGTTTTTCCAGCTGAGAATGTTTATGCAGCAAAATACTGGGCAAGTGTCAACACTTGTGAGTAACTTTCATTTCTGTTGTTTTCCTCTTGTCAAAAGACATTGGGCATTTTTAAATGCTTATAACAATTCTGCTATGTTTAAAGCTTTGCAGCTCTTCTGCATTTGCTGTTTCTTTTGCTCTCTAATCAAAAGTTGTATTTGCCTGTAACTATGATTTTTATCTTAGGCATATGAGATGAAAGTACATCAAAAACAGTTTGGGAAGTATTCAATATTTGATAATTAAACAAAATAGTTTTGTTAATATTTTGGTGTTTGTTTATGTTAGCTGCTATTGTATTTTTATATTCACACATACACAATGAAGTCTGACCCTTCCAACTACCGTCCTATCAGTCTCCTTCCCCTCTTCGGCAAAGTCTTCGAAGCCCTAATCAATACCAAGGTGGTTAACCACCTCACATCCCATAATCTGCTCTCAGACAAGCAATATGGTTTCCGCTTTGCCCGATCTACAGCCGATGTGCATCACTAAAACAGTCTACCGAGCTCTCCAAAATAACGGGGAAGCCCGAGCCGTGGCACTAGACATCTCCAAAGCATTCGATAGGGTTTGGTATGCGGCCTTCAAGAAGCTCAGGGTTATGGCATTACGGGTTGATTATATAACCTAATACAATCATTCCTGTCATACCCGTGAATTGAAGGTCGTTCTCAACGGATTCTCCTCCAGTTCCTATCCCACGAACGCAGGTGTTCCTCAAGGCTTCATCCTAGGCCCCACTCTATTCCTTATCTACATAAATGACCTTCCTGACGCCATAACTTCCCAAGTTGGCATCTACGCGAATGACACTACAATTTATTCCTGCCTCAAAAACAAATCTAGTCTTGCGGACAAAACTCACCTGGCCGTGTTTCTCGAAAAGGACCTCCAATCGATTGTGAACTGGGGCATGAATTGGCTGGTCAACTTCAACGCTTCTAAGACAAAACTGCTCTCTATTAATCACCGCAGAGATCCTTTCCTTCCCTCCATTAGAATGTCTGATGCTCAACTTCTCGAGAGCAACTCTCTGTGGCTTCTCGGTCTCGCGTTGACTGCTGATCTGAGATGGAATAAATACATTGAGTCAATTGCCTCGTCCACTGCAAGGAAAGTTGGCTCCCTGAGCCGCGCTAGGAAGTTTTTCTCCCTGGAGTCGATCCTCCAGATCTACAAATCCACAATTCGCCCTTGCATGGAGTATTGCTGCCATATATGGTCTGGTGCCCCTTCTGTTTGCCTCGGGGTTCTTGATAGGCTCCAGAGGCTGATATGCGATGTGGTTGGCCCTGCCCTGGCATCTCATCTACAGTCACTTTCTCACATACGCGCCGTCGTCTCCCTCTGTCTGTTCTACAAATACTTTCATGGAAATTGCTCCGAGGAGGTGCATTCGCTGGTTCCCAGACATCATGAGTTTCAGCGCCTTACGAGGCTGGCATCCCGCTCTCACCCCTTCACTGTCGAAACTCCTAAATGTAGCCGTCTCTTCTACTCTAATAGCTTCAAGTCTCGCACCGCTCGCCTGTGGAACTCCCTTCCCTTTTCTTGTTTCCCTGTGAGCTATAATCTCCAGCTATTCAAATGTAATGTCAATCGACATCTCCAGTTGCCTTGTTCTATCCACTACCCTCATCCTTTCTTCTATCACTCCTATTTGATCTTGCTCTAAATTTTCTGTAACCCCTTGCATCCTAGTGGCTTCCTGCCTTGCTTGGGGTGAAATGCTTAAAAAAAATATCAATTATTACAATAAATAATTAATAAAATTCTCATTAAATTCCTTTTTGAAAATGTTAAATATTTTAAAAAAATTTTTACTTGAAAAAAATTTCTTTAGGCACTCAACTGAGGAAGTCAGATGAAGATCTTGATATTCTGATAAATTTCAATAAACTATCATCAGGTTAGAATTTTTTTTATTCATCATTTGTTAAATTCATCTCAGATGTGTGGGTAGTGTAAAGGTTATTGGAGCAAAAAGCCTAATCAACGAGCCAAGTTCAAATATCTGCCGACATTCACTTTGCACAAATACCCTTAGGAAAGACATGAATCCACCTCTTTTCTTTTTAACTATGGCTTCAATAGTAGGGCAGACTGGACTCTCTAACCTTGGCTGGCAGTCAGTCTAGGAGGACTAGTACTTTCAATTTAAAAACCCTGGAGAAGGCATTGGGGAAACCACTATTTTTCCCAAGAAGTCATGGTAATTTAAGGATATTAAACAATATAGAGCTGATCACAAACGAGACCTAGTGCTCAACAGAATAAGAATTGAACACACACCCCTACATGCACACATGCTGAAGGCAAAAACTATACCTTGATGTACCCACTGCAATCAATTTCTCACAGTCAAACATATCTTGATAGAATGTAAGAACAAAAAATACCTTGTAACTATTACCAAGCACAAAATCTTAACATGCTCTTCAAAAATGTACCTACTACCCAAATAATAGGATATCTGAAGAAAATGAAATACTTCCAACTTCTATAGAAAATAGAGCTTGGATTTTGAACCATACAACTTATGTTTTGAAATACTACTGAACCATGCAGCTTGAGACATTTTGAAATATGTTGAACTATACAACTTGTGATGTTTTGAAACCTCCTAACCACTTGAAATGTTTTGAAACATTCCTGAATAAAAATCCAATTTCAGCATTAAATGGCCCACAAGGGTTGACATACTGGTAAAACAAATAAACAATCAATCAATCACAAATATTAACAAAAGGAAGCTGTGAGGAACCATGATCACCTATGTCCTGTGGGACATGACATTAAAAAAAATTCATCTCTATATCAGATCTGTCAGTTGGATAAAAACAAGGAGCCAAAGTAGATCTCTGTCTTTTTATTGATTAAATATTCTTAATTATCTCAAAATAGTTGTGATTATCAGAATCTTAAGCATTATTTTATTTAATGAAAATAGTATTTTTAACTTCAAATGATTACATTTTCATATCTATTCTCTCAGTAATCCAATACACTGATTCAAGTTTTTTTTTTCCATAAATGGAATTCTTGTCTGATGCACAAATATTTAACACGTGATCAAAGCAGTAGTAAAGGTTGTTTTGGCTTGTATTTCTTTTGTTGATGACTTTTAAAGTAAAGAGGAGACAAAGTTAACATAAATATCTGTTTCCTTGGCAATAATTAATATTTCTTGTTATCTATAATTCACTGAAGAGATTTACTCACTAGTTGAAAAATATTAGGCCAAATTGAAACTTCATGCCTGTAAAAAAAAAAAAAAAAAAAAAAAAGCATGAAGTGTCAAAAATGTTTTTTTCCATTGATACCATTATTATTTTAAGTACTTTCACTCCACAGTAATGTTTATTGTTTTTAAAAAGTGATGATCAAAATTGTAATAAAGTCTAGATATGTGAAAGTGAGTTTATACATTTTCTTTGTTCTTGAGAATTGACAACAAAAATAATAAACACTATTTATTTGATTGTTTATTTATAAGAATAATTTTATAGTTATAACATTCTAAAAACTAATACAACTGAAATTGATGCAATGCCATATTTATCATTTACCAATTTATAAAGATTTTCTTTTTTTTCTAGTTTTATAAAATAAATATGAAATTTTGCCCAATATTGTTTCAGGAAGATGCAATAAATAGCATTCTGTTAAATTCTTTCACTATATTTTAAACATGTTGGAGCATTGTTATCCTCCAGGTTAGATTTTATGACATTTTATTTTTCACTTAACACAAACCTGAAATTAGCTTGGTTTGGTACAAAACTGTTATTATAAGAGCACTAAATGAGGGTTGAACTGATTAATGATATTTAAGACTAATTTGTTAACCAACTTACTATGCTTAAATACTTACTTAAATAGACTAAAAGATAATTATTGTTAATGAACTGTAGTTTGTCATTTTAAATTTCTCTCTCTCTCCCTCTCTCTGCCATATGCCTTCAGGAAATATGGATCATGGTTCTCCACAGCTTCCTTTCTTTAGTTGCTTTCAGTAATAATTGTTTCTTTATGTCTCTTCCTTGTGGTCTTCATTTCTCCATCCATTTGTTCAAATTTGTCAAGTAGGTTACCTGCTGTTTTTCTCTACATCAATGTGTCCTTTCAGGGTCAAGTTCCATTTAAAATAATGATTTTAAATATATTAAGTTTTATGTGGCAAGTAATTGCTTCACATTTTATTCATGTGGAAAAAATGCCTTTTAATTACTATAATCAGTAATGACAGTGTTTATGACATTGATTAAACAATTTTAGTGTAATCATACAATTGGGACCCTTGCCTTGCTTTCCACCTATTGGCCAATGACTACTTTATTTTATGTCTTCACTCTCATTGACATTTTTGTGCACCAAATACTGGGTATAAAATTATAAAAAATAATTTTCTTGTCCTTTAGTTTTCTTAAAACTATAAAAAGAATTTTTTTTTCTTCTCTTATTTTTCAGAACTTTTGGAAGTTTGTCTGCAAATTTACTCATAAGAATGTGATCTCTCAAATTCAGGAACTGAAACAGATAAAAACAGATGTTGGTTATTGTCGGGTAAGCTAAAAGCAATTTTGTTTACTTTGTATTTTATTTTGGCACTGTGAAATGCAGGGAATGAATGAAAATATTGTGTTGTGCTAATCTCCAGATTGAGAAGGACTAGTCTGCTTTGAAAACCAGCATTCAAAAGACTGGCTTTTTGCCTCAGTTGGTACATTGACCACAGGCATTAGTGAGATATATACATCACCATGCATATGGCAAGCTGTTTATCTGTGGGACACTCAGTGGCTATCAAACTCACTACACTAGTTATGGTTTATGAAGTTATCTTGCTAACAAATATTTCCCAATAAGGTGTTTAAAAACAAGACCACAGCATTGGAAACACCCAGTGAAAATTCAACTTGTTCCTCTATTAAATTTGTCTGTAACATGTCAGACTCAACAAACCTTGGATCTGTGCCCAAAGAGTTACATTTTAGCTGCTGATGTCAGTTACAGGTGTACAGGCTCACACAGGACTGACAGTCTCGATTGCAATCAATGCTAAGAAGAAGCTTTTCCCTGATGTCACCTTGTTTTCTTTCTGCTGAGCATGCTCCTCCCAAGTGGCAAGCTTTTGTTTCTCCAACCCTCAGTGTAAGTTTAAAAGATAATTATTGTTAATAAGCTTTAGTTGACTTTGTCATTTTAAGCTTCTCTCTCTTTACAATGTCCTTTTAGAAAATAGAGATCATGGTTCTCCACAGCTTCCTTTCTTACTGCTTTCAGTAATAATTGTTTAGTTTGCCTTTAGTTGGTTATTATAATCAGTAATGATAGTGTTTATGACTTGGATAAACAATTTTAATGTAACCATACAAAGGAACCCTCACCTAGTTTTCACTGATTAGTCAATGACTACCTTACATTATGTTTCCGCTCTTATTCACATCAGTGTGCACCAAAAACTGGGGAGTGCCCGCTGCATATTCACAAAGAAACACAAATTGAAAACAAACGCCATGTTAAGAAATGAGAACTTGATCCCTATTTCTAATAATATAAAATAGGTGTTTTATTAAGGTTTTTTTCTTGCTTGGTGTAGATGGGTATGTATGTGACATTTGTGATAACTTCTGCTGTATCAGTCTAACAGTTCAGCTTCTAGTGCTCCACCTATCTCAATATCACAACATATGGATTGGGCAGTGTTGGAACTACTCAATGGTCAGTTTGCCCTCTGCTAAGTGCAGACCAGAACTGACTTCCTCTATCCTAACTGTGACTTAATATAGACCAGCAACTGGAAATCCTCAATATCCGGCTTGTTGCCACATGACTTCCAAAAGCCCTTATCCACTCATTTATTCTTTTATTCTCCTTCAATCAAGTAGATGCCACTTAGAAGATCTGACTTCAAAGACTCCATCTGCTGGCCATAAAACAGTAACACTTGAGATAAAATCACACCTTCCTCTCCTATGTGAGTGTCCTATTCATGGTGTCACATTAACTTATTTACTTTTGCATCTGTGATATACTAACACCTTAAGACAATGGAAGGAAGAACCAGAATAGCTGGAAAAAAATGAATGCCAAATATGCATTGTGCTCAAAGGAATTTTATGTAGAGATATGTCATATAAAAAATTATATGAATACAACAAGCAGTGTGAAAGTGGAGATAAGTGAGAGGGTCTTACTTGTAATATTTCCTAAAGGGAAATCTGCCATTCCAGTGATATCATCTTTGAGCTTTATGGTACCACATGGTCTCCTCTATTCTCTGTGCTGCTGTGGGCTTGTGAGCATGTTTAGCTCCCTAGTAATCTGTATCAGCAACCGGGTTTTGTTACCCAACAAACTAATGTCACTCACCAGCTGTCACATGTGACCCTCATGAATTCATCTTACTCAAAGAGAATTAATCGCCCTTTGAAGCAATACTTATCTACATTGCTAATTGACAATCTCTTGCAATGACCTGTCTGCTATTTTCTGACAAATTTAAATGACAGAACTAATTTCTGCATTATGTTTATATAAGATATTGAAATACTTTTTTATATTTTCCAGGTTTGGGTTCGAATGGCTCTTAATGATGGATTATTGTGCAGTTATATTGATGCCATGACAGCTGACCATTCAACATTAGAGTAAGTATCACATATAATTCCAATATTTGCTGGTTTAGTGCAAGTGAAATGGCTGTCAAAAGATTTGAAGTCTCATTTTTGTTTACTTTAAATGTTATATAGATGAAAGAAAATTGTGTTCAAAACAGAATGCATCTAATGATCCAATATTTTTATTGGTTAATCATAATATGTGTTTAAAAGCCAGTTGCGTTTACATTCAGATATCTCTAGTTTTAGAAGATTCTATTTTATTCATTTTTTTCATTATTTATTGTTGACTTCAATGAAAGGAAATTTCTATAGTGAGATTCATTTTGTCACGAACATCTCAAGTTTGATGCACAACAAAAATGTAATCAGTATTTCTTTTTTGAATTTTGGCTTATCATTATTTTTTAATTTAAAAAAAATTTTTTTCAGCTATCCATGAGTCGAGGCTTAATTTTTTTTATTTTTATTGATTCTTTTCTAGGTCTTTCTATTATCAATTAGCTTATCTCAGAGATCTTGAACAACCAGGAATATTCAAATCATATGTTCAAGGTAAGATGATTTCTGGGGCTGTTTTCTGGCGAAAATATAGGGATTTTCCACAGATATTTTTTCATTAAAATATTAAAGAAGTAAAGATTTTTATTTTTACTTTACCAAAATAAGTAATGTTGTTAATCTGTCTGCTGTCAAAGTCTTACAGCCACATCATGTCAAAACACCAGTTCCTATACAATCACCAAAGTTAAGCAGCATTGAGCCTGGTCAGTACCTAGATGGGTGACTGCTTGGAGGTACCATGTGCTGTCAGCTTGGATGTGTGGGTGGTGTAATAGATAATAGCTTCGAGAGCCAAGTTCCAATTCTAATGGGGTTTATTATATTCACTTATGTGTAAATACCCTTGGGTAAGGTATGAATCGACCTCTGGCTATGGGTTAATTAGTAGGACTTGTATCACTAAATCAATATTATCTCCAAAAAAGATTTTTACAATCTAAGTATTTACTGGCTTTAAATAATTGGCAAAGGGTTGATAAGTAATAAAAAACAAATGAATGACTCAATCAGTGTCTGAATCAATGTCTACTGTCACAGACTAAATAACCCATTTTAGTAAGTCATCATTTTCTTACTATGAATGAAATAATGTGATTGTATATTTTACATATAGTTAATGTGGATGTGCAGGTGGTGTAATGGTTAGAGGCTTGGAACAAGAAATTTGCAAGTCAGGTTCAAATTTCAGTTGAGGTTGTTACATTCACTTTCACACAAATACTCTTGGGAAAAGTATGAGTCCATCTATTCTTGCTCCAGTTATGGGTTAAATAGCAGAGCAGACTAGGCATTCTGGCCATGGTTGGCAACAAGTCTAGAAGAATGATAACTCTGAATTCAAAACTGTGTATCCCTGGCATAGTACCCACTATTCAGCTGCCAAAAGGATCATGGAGTTCACAATGACCATATGATCTTGACGGCAGTTGATCAGATAGTGATACATAATACATGGGTTTATGAGATATTCTACTTAACATGTTAGCTGACTTTGTATGGAAATGATAAAATTTTTTTTTTTTTCTATCTTTTTTTTTTTTTTTTTTACAAGAAAAGTTCTACAAGAGGTAAAATAAATACTTGGCAGTAAACAGGTTAAGAGAATGAAATTTGTTTTAATACTAAATAACTTTATAAAATCTTTTTGGCAGTGTTTAACCTTCATGCCTGTAAAAATGCTGTGTCAAAAGGATGGTTATTCCCTTGACACCACTATAACTGTATACACTTTTGACTCTCTTGGCAATGTTTATTTATAAGATTATGTGAATTAAATGAAATGCAGTATTTGTTATTTACCTTTATAAAGATGTATTCTTTACCATTTTATAAAGAAATAAATTTGAAAAGGAAACTTTTTTTACTGAAAAATTTATTAAGAAAAATTGCAAAATTATCAAAATATGTAAGAGAAAGATGCTCTTGACCTATTTTAATGGATTTATGTGGCAAGAACAAATGAAAGTCTATAATTACAGTTACTCATTGTGTGTTTATTTAAATTTTCTTGTTTATGGACATTTTTATAAATTTATAAATAAAAAAAATTATTTTCATATTTATTTCTTTATAAAATGGTAAATAATAAATATTCCATTATCGTTGGTTCATATTTTTATAATGCTGTAAATATAAAATTAATCTTGTAAATAAGCAATCTAATAAATAATGTTTAATATCTTTGTCAGTTGTCAAGAATAAAGAAAATGTCTAAATCCTCTTTCATATGTTTGGGTTTTATTCAAATTCTAATCATTGCTTTTTAAAAAAATAATCATTGCTGGCTGTGAGAGTGTACAGTAATAGCAGTGTCAAGGGAATAACCATCCTGTTTACACACAATTTTTTTTGTGGGCACAAAGATTAAAGATTGACTTTTTCTCTTTTTTTTTTGTTTTTTTTTTTAAATGACTTCATAAACAAATGAGTCAAATATTTTGCATACAACTGACATTTTTGAGCCATTACAATCTACCAGAAATTACATTTATTTGTACCTTTTTAAGATTTCAAAAACTAACAAGTTCACTGGCTTCTGTTTGTCAAAGCTACCAATAGATGTAGCAACCACTTTGCTACCACTGGGCTCCAGAGTTCAATTCAGGATAGGACATTGCTTGCATATATATATTTTTTTTTAATTCAGTTAACCTCAAGCAAGGCAGTAAAGCCACTAAAAAACAAGGTGTTACTGAGTTTGAAAGAATTTTAAAATGGAAACTTTACTAAGGAATGAGAACAAAAGAAGAGTAATTAGGAGAACAGTAGATAGTGATTGATATTGCATTTAAATTTTTGAGGATTAAAGTTGACTGGAAAAGCATGGAGCTGGAAGTGAGATCCACAAGCGAGAAGTGTGAGAATAGAAACTGTTAGTTTAGAACTTACAGTTAAATCTAGTCAACTCAACTGCAAATTGATAAGACTTCATTGCCAGTCTAATACTGCAATTAAATTCATAAAGTCTAGGTACCATAGCAAAGAGCTCAGAACAATTACCATGAAATTATTTATAGAAAAGGCACAGGGGGCAACTTTATGGTAGTGGGAAAATGACTGAAGCTGAGGCACCAGATCAGGATGAATAATATTGCTGATTCTTCTTTTGGATTTTATCAAGGATCTTGAACTATATAGCAGGAGCACTGGACCATATATGGCAGCAATATTCTAAGCATGAATGAATGGTAGAATTATAAATATGTAAGATAGATACTGGGGGAAAAATTGTCTAGCATAACACAATGAACCAACTTTCTTAGCAACTGACCTAGCAATGGATTCAATATAGTCTTTCCACTTCATGTCACCTAAAAATGTTATCCATGAGAAGGTGCAACAAGTCACTCATTTGGAGGTTAGCATCAGCCATGCTGATGGAAGGCATAAAGAGGTCTTTCAGATGATTAATAGAGAGCAATTTAGTTTTGGCAGAGTTAAAATTAACAAGCCATCCTTTGCCTCAGTTAACAACAGACTGGAGGTCATTTTTTGGTATCAGCAGTATATATATTTTATTTTCTGTTTCCTCATGATGACATGGTATAAAGAAGACTAAAAGAAATTGGAGATAAAACTAAAGAAATGGAGCTTGATTCATGCCTTCGTAAAGGATATAAGTTTGAAAGTGATAAACCATTTCAATTGCAATTCCAATCTGATTTATTGGTTTGATTTTGCTTTTTCTCCTTTTTTTTTTCCAAGTCGGTAACCATCATCATTTTCTACTTCCTAAATTGTAATAATGTTACAATTTCTAATAGATCAGAAATCTCTCTTCACTTCACTTTACTATTAAGATCTTAACTGGTTTCTTTTCAGTTAAAAAACATTTTTTCCAATTAACCTATTTTTGAATTTATATATATATAATAAAAACAAATAAGTAAATCTAGAACAGTTACAGGTGCATACTTGTCTATCAGGTTAATCCACCTACTAAAAAGGGTACATTTCAAAGTACTCTTCAGACCTGAATGAGTTGGTTGGGGTGGGGGAGTCTAATAACTAATTGGAGTTAGAAATGTTTTGTGAATTCTTAGTTTGGGGTCAAAATAAGTTTGTATTGATAGTGCCTACTGTTTTAACACAAGTCAAGGGTGTTGGCATGAAGTATTAAAATAGTTTGAAGAGTTTTAATAAGAGGATATAGTTGGTTAAAAAAAATAAATAAATAAATGACACCCCTCCCCACATACACATATACACACATTTATTAGACATAGGCAAGTAAATACTCCTAATTTTTTTTTTTTTTTAAAAAAATAAAAAAATTTTTTATTTTTTTTCCTTGTATTTGTTAATGACTTTTTGAAATCATAATTATTATTTCCATTTGGAATATTGTCTTCATCAGGTGTCTATTGAACCAGGAAACTTACAGAGAATTCCAAACTGAATCATTTATTAAATCTACAGGGGTAAACTGTTTTCATTCCACTGCCCATGTCTAGAGATATCTAGTCCAGTTCTTATTTTTAGTACTGCTCGCTTCTTACTCATCCTCTTATCCACTGACTTGAATTACACACTGCTTGGCTCAGGGATTGAACTCACAATTACTGTTTCACCAAATTTAATAGCCCAGTGAATTTCAATGTTGTTTCATAAATAATAACTCATCTCAGAAGTTCAAACAGAAATCATCACCATCATCACCTGCCACTAGTGATCAATTAAAACTAAATTTGTGCTCTGTAGCCTTTGAATAGAATATGGAATATTTAAAGACAAACATTTGACAAAATTACTGTAATAAAATTTGTTTTAAAATTTTAATTTCTTCTCTTAAGGTCTGATGGCATTTCAGTTTGAGCTTCCCTACAACTCTAGTGTCCTCAACAGTTGGATGAATACTCCATTGTTGCTGGCAGGCATTGAAGGTGCTCTCATGCCAGAAGAAGAACAACCAAAAAATGAAAGTGTAGGGACCAACACTGACACCACTGATACTGACACTGCTGACCTTACCTCTTCTACTTTGACCCCTGGTGCTGACTCCTCAATATCTACTAATCCATTTACAGCTTCTACTATTTCTACTGCTGAATCAGATTCAAACACACTTACTTTTGATGATGCTGATGCCACACACAGTGACAATTCAAGAGGTAAAGGTTCTCTTTTGGTCTTTATCCACAGTAAAATTTAAAACTGATTTCTGTTCTATGTCATTTTGCCATAATGTATTGTTGTTTCCCCTCATCATATTCCATATGGTATTCAACCTTAGCAATAAGTACTTCATCTGTTTTATTTAATAATCGTTTAAAAGCACAATAGTAGTGATGCTGGCAATTTAGCCCTAAATTTACTTTCTTATGCTCTAGTTGCTAAGATCTGTGATAAGAACAAATCTCTCTGAAACAAATAACTTTTATTATAATATATTCTTAGAAGTATTTTACTTTATTATTATTCATTGTTTTAAAAATCTTATGTCTAATTTATAAATTAAACTTCATACTTTAAATCTAAGAAAAACCTAGTAATATAGGATTCAGTATAATCTACAGTTTTAGGCATCTGCTGACGGAGTGTTGAATATATTCTACATGGATAAGGTAAACTACTATGCAGATAAAACAGTTATGGATGTTGGAATGATAAGTTTATGAAGAGAAATATGTAATAAAATTCATAAATAATTTAGAAAAAATGGAAATGATGATGCCACAATAAACACAAATAAATTGACATATCTATAGAAGTAATATAAGGGTAGAATGAATACTAGAAAAGTGAAACCTTAATAGTTATATTAATGCTTTATATATATATATTATAAATTAATTGATTTAAAATATGTTTTTTTTTCCGCTACACAGTTCTAACCATGTTTCAAAAATGGAAGCTAAAAGCCCCGAATTTAATTTTGTAATTAAATTAAAGACATTAGTTCCATTTCATCCTCAAGCGAATTTTGGAGTAACTTTTAAAATTACTGGGTTTTAAAGACACAACTAAAATCATAATTCATGTTTCCAAGGTTACAGATGAATTCATTTTACTAGACGAGGGGTGTCTGTGTGTTCATTATGTCTATATTTTAATGTATCAGTTATTGCTACATTTTGGTAGTGGGTAGGGATGTATTTTTCAATGAAATCTAACATCCGTTAAAAGCGTGAGATTTTATTATTAAAAAAGCCAGAGAAAAATAATTAAAAATAAAATAAAAGTAAAAAAAAATAATAAAATAAAAATATAATACAAGGCTAATCGTACTACAAGTAAATTTCAAATATTAACCAATTTAATGCCTAAAACTGGGATAAATTAACAATGAAAATAATGAAATGTTAATAAAGATAATAAACATAAGAAGATTGATTCTAGGGTTAAGAAATTTAACAAGATTGTAAAGTTAACTCCTTTATATGCTTACAACTTATTGCTGTTTTGTGTCTTTGATTAAACAAAATGTCACAATTTGAGAATTTAATTATTTCCATTTTCTCCTGTAGACAGAGGAAACATGGTTCATTCAAAGACCTAGAGATTCTAGCTAGTTTTAGATTTATAAAAAATAAATTTCAACTGGTTCTAAATTTAAATGTTGTTACATTTTGAACAAAGATAACACAAGAATTTAAAATTTATGGCATTTGTTCCAAGGGCTATAAATATGAGATCAGATAATAATTTCAATTGATTTATCAAACATCTGACCTGACAAGCATTTTAATGCAACTCAATTAAAATAACAGAAATTTTATTGATTTATTGAATAAAATATATATATATATATATATATATATATATATATATATATATATATATATATATAGCATTGAGCCCTCTGTTTATTTTATATTTTGCTTTTAGGTTTTGTTTTTACTGTGGTTTGTATTTTATATTTTAAGCTTTTAGGTTTTGTTTTTTACTGTGGGTTTGTGTGTGTATATATATATATATATATATATATATATATATATATATGGGCTCTGGTGAAATAAATTATTATAATGGAACTTTAAAGTGGTCTATTTTTTCTTTATGGATTAAACCCAACAGTTATTTTTAATTTATTTTGTTTAAACATTATACAAATAACAAACACACATTATATATATATATATATATATATATATATATATATATTCATAAAGAAAAAATAGACCACTTTAAGGTTCCATTATAATAATTTATTTCACCAGAGGCCTTATATATATATATATATGACATTTTTATGTTTATACATTCTTTTTATAGATACAAATATTTAAGTAAATGCTCTGTTCATAATAAAACAGTATTAACAACATTTACCGGTCTGAATGTTATAAACAGAGCATTTACTTAAATATTTGCATCTATAAAAAAAAAGAGAATTTATAAACATAAAAATGTCTTAAAATAATTGTCAGACTTTGTCCATTTCATATATATATATATATATATATATATATATATATATATATATATATATATATATATATAAGCTTCAAACATTGTTACAGTGGATATTGTATTTGAAATAGATACCCCATTTTTATTTCAAACAGTGTGTATTTGATAAATCTTAATGAAAATTTGCTCTCTGGCAGGGATCAAACCTGCATCCCCTTTTGTAGGAAAAACTATCATTTGATCTAGTATGCTTTACTACTTGGCTACAGAGAGTGTCAGAGTTCAGCTATTTTCCATTTCTAAGGAATGCACACTTGATGCAGGTTCGATTCTTGCTGTAGAACATATTTTCTTTATTAAGATTTCTCAAATACACAGGCTTATGGGTCTAATACTGTTTAAAATGAAAATGAAGTGTCTATTTCAAATATAATAACATCTGAAGTAATAAAAATATCAAATTAAAAATAAATCCATCCCATCTTTAGAAATATAGATATATAAATAATTAATACAAGTAAAAGATTTGTCACTTAGCTGATAGATGTTACCTTCAGCATCCCAACTCCAGATTTTCGTAGATGGACCTTCCGGGAATCACTCCATCTACTTGTATATATACATATATATAATCTTTATTTGTCATTCCATGTTCAGCCACATCCCTGTATATGAGTGTTGCTGTAAAAGCCTGCTATAGTCTGATTAATAAAATTATCTATTTTTTTTTTATTTGTCTCTCTATGAAATTTAAAAAAAAATAATTTGATTTTTTCTTGAAAAAATTCTTCTTGAAAACACAGTAACATTGTATATTCTAAAATTGTTCACAGTGGATTTTGATATTCTGGTGAATATAATGATTTACAATGTGTTTAGTAATTAAAGAAAACAGATTTTGCAATTAGCTCTTCTTCACCTATTATCTATGAATGATAGAAATTTCAGTCATTACTGTTCTTTAGCATGACTGACTTTAAGCCAATTGGCTCTTTTGCTCTAATTTAGGCATTTGTTTACTCATTTTATCAAATAACTCCAACATGTTTTAAAGTGAAGGGCAACAACTGTAAGTTTTTTTTTCTACATTCTTAAAACGTCAGTAATGTTAATGTGTACAGTTTATATTTTTAATTATTTTTTTTTTTTTTTTTTTTTTTTAGTGTACTGGAGTTAAATATGTTTTCATTTTATATTTTGAATGCTTTCCATTTTACTATTAAGTCTATAATAAAATTTTATTTATACCTCTAAGGCCCTACAGAACAGGGCTTTGCAAAAAAAAAAAAACTTTCCAGTTGAGTCCTGCAGCCTAATACTCAACTAGGACTCAACATTTAGGAAACAGCAACTGAGCTTCTCCTGTCACAGTTTATGGGCTAATATTCAAAAACTCTGTTTTATTTGAGCAACTGAAAATGATTTAAAGGATCAATGAAAGAAAAAAAGAAAGCAAGGATGAGGATAGTCTAAAAATGTCATTGATATAATTTTTAAAATGCTATTAAAAATTATTAAAAAAAATGTTTTAATAGAGTAATCTGAATACTGATAAGTTATTTTATTTACAAAAATATTATGAAAATAGAATAAAATTTAGGAAAGAATTTTATTAAAATTATTTTTTTTATCTTTTAATATAGAGAAAGGCCCAAAGGTGTCTGAGAATAGTCAACAAAATCATGAAACTCCATCAGAACCTATAATAAACAACTCTGTGAAACCAAATCCGGAATCTTCTTGCACCATTAGTGAGGACAATCAAGCAGATAATAATACTACAAAAATAGAAACAAACTCTGTTTTAACAAATAGTAAAAAAACACATCACCCAACAGGTGTGGGTAAAGCACCAAATATTAATAACAACAATAACAAAACCTCCAAAGAATCAAAAGGCAAATCAGGCAACATCCAATGCCAGCAGTCACGCCAAAGACCAAATACATTAAATATTGGAAATTCTCCTGGTGGCAATAGTTTAAATTTGGGTAACAGTTTGGAAATTGCCTCAGGATGGTCGTCTGTTTTTCTTGAAGACCCTGTTCCAGTCCCTGCTCTGGCTTCAGCTCCAGAACCTTTTACTGAACCTGCTGAGATTGTTGTAGTCCAAGATGGTAAGCTTGATTTTTATTTATTTTTTATTTTTATTATTTTTAAATTAATATGCTTACAGGTGTATGTCAGTAGTAAAACATCTCACTGAATGAGGTCTTGACTAAGAAATCTGAAGTTTTATAAAATATAATAATTTCAAATTAATTCATTTGTTCAGTTAACACATTTTACACCACTATGGTCACCACTTCCTGTACTTCTGTCGTAATTGTGGTTTATGGTGGCATTCAAGGCGAAATTGTGCAATGGTTTTCCAGTTCTTTTTTGCACCGGGGATGTTGAAGATACCCCATCTCTCCTATCAGAAGTTACCCATAGGTAAAGCTGTTGACCTCTGAAGCACAGCTCCAGTACCCAGGCTGGCAATTGGCCGCTTGGCACAGGTTGGTTGGGAAGAGGTGTTCACTCTAACTGATCAGGTTGAGAAATTCTTCCGATTAACTTCACACAGTTCAGCTGGCAGGTTGATGCTATTGACTATAGTGTAACCATTGCAGTGCCCATCTTGGAGACATGAAATTTATATGTAGACTGTGGACTAGTACAGTTCTGCATTCCAATTCACTTGAGTAAAGCAGGGGTGACTGCTTACTAATTTCTAAAAATGTTTTTTGCCAGATAGGTAATTATGAATAAGGATCAAGTGCTGATTGATACAATAAACTCTCTGACTTTTAATATATGCCAAGAGAATAATCTTGAAATATAAACTGAAGAGTTGCAAAGTTTATAACTCAGTTTATAATGCAGAATCAATTCAGTAACTATAAATTATGATGAAACAAGAATCATTTTAAAATTAGCATAAGTTTAAATTTTTTAGTTTTAGATTGTGAACACTTACTGTCCAATGTTGGGCTTTAATGGGTTAAAAGTTGAAACTAATAATTAATACTGAATTTTAAAAAAAACCTATAATACCAGATTTTTATTTTTATAATTAATACCGGATTTTGCAGTGGGCACCAAAAGGTTAGCTTGCTGAACTAGGCAGTGAGTGGCTTGGTTGGTAAGTGAAGTAGTTGCATATTTCCAAGTGGCATTTATTTAAATGCTATGTAAAAGCCAGAATTCAAGTGTTGATTTTTAAGGTAGTTTGCCTCTACTACTTGAAAGGTTGGTGCTACTCCTAACATCCAACTCTGTGTCTTACAAAGCTAAACTTAGTAATAATCTCATCAGTGAATAATCAAAACTGGTCATTCTATAAATATGACAATGTCAATCAAATATTAGTTTCCAGTGAGTGTAGCATAAAACTATTTGTTTATGGATTTTCATATGCTAAAATATTTTTATTATTAAATAATATATTACTATCTCTGTTCTAGAATAGTTGTTAAATTTAGAGTATGAAATTTGTCCTGAAATAATTGTCAGATTTATAAATAACAATAAAAGCTAAACCCAATGAAAATGAAATTATTTTTTAATTCATTAATTAAACCCATTAAGTTAGAAAAAAACCTTTTAATAAATGACTTTTCAGGATTTTATTAGCATTTAAAATAGTATTTGTGATCGATTTAAAGGCTGTTTTTGTAGCCAATTTTCACATAGAAGTCTTTATTCTTATACATTTAATATTATAGTAAATTCAAGACTCATCAAATTTTACTTGATGGGTTCTTCAATTTTTGTTCGTCATTGATAATACCTGTTAAAAAAATATAAACCCAACAGATGTGCAATTTTAAACTTTTCAAATTTTGCTTACCTTTTAAACAATTCCCTTTATGCTAACTCATTTTATTTAAAATATTTTTTAAATTACTCTTGTTAGATATAAATGTAACAACACAAACTTGTTACTACAACATATAAACCTAATCTTTAAAATAACTATGTAATAATCAAAATGTTTATAGCTTTTCTTTTTTTCCTATCTATTTAGCTGAAAATTTTGAAAGCTTAGTAGAGAACTACACAAGAGAACATACATTATCACCAATTCCCTTTGGGGAAATTGCTGAAAGCTCACCTGAAAATAAAAATGGCCACACAAAAGATCGTTCTGAAAAGGTATGCCTTTACTTTTGCCAATTTTTAAGTGCATGTTGTACTTCCTTATCTTTTTTTCTCTCTCTCTTATTTTTTTACTAATTATTGTGGCAGATACCCTGTTGAGTGTTCTTGAAGACAGTCATAACATGTACTAAAAGGAAAAGTTAAATCATAAAAAACTTTGGGATAATTTTTTTACTTGAAAATATATTTTTGTAATAATCCTAAAATATTTCTTTATAGAGAAAAAAATCTTAAAAAATATAACTGAAAAATATAATATTAAAAAGAAAAAATATAATATCTAAGTCTTTTTTACTTTTTAAATTTAAAAATTGAAAATATTTTTTGACACATTTTTAGTTGAAATATCTGTTTAAAAAATTCTACACCTATTTATTTATTTATTTATTTTTTTAACCTGATTGCAAATCAAGGTGAATTCAAAGGTATAGGTATTGATAGATACATTAGATTTTGTTGAAAAGATTTAGAGAGAGTTATCTCCCTTGGAAACAATTAGAATTTTCCCACTGCTTGAAATTATACAATGATTTTTGTTATTTGCTGTTAACTTATTAGTTAATAAATATTTTAATAATATGAAATTTAGCTTACTCAATTCCCCTCTTTCTCTCATGCCTAGGTTAACAGGAGGGTTTGGTTTGTGCAGGTGGTTTGTTGGTTATTTTTAGTTGTGCTTTTTTATGATTTCTACCATTTTCTCAGTGCAATTGTAGCAGATTTTTAATGTGTTACTGTTGAATATCCAACAATAATCAAGCAGATCCTGCTATCAATTAACTGCAGGTTATCTGGGAATTCTGACAACAGGAAAAGAAACATCATGTGGTTCAACCAAAAACATAAAAAAAACATAGGAAAAATGGTCATTAAACTCATATACAAATACTCCCCCATCATCAAGCACTCTGCACAAAATATTAAATACAAAAATTAACAAAAATCAAAATAAATAAATTAAGTAAATAATAAAAAAATTATGAATACACACATAAGCACAAGTAAATGTAATAAGCAACAAATAATAAAGTAATCAATACTAAATAATAAGTAGAAAGCTAACAAACACTACTATAAAATAGCTACAAATGACTGCATTGAGATCCACAGTTACTTCTATTCAATAGCCTCTAGAATAATTTGAAACATAACTGTTACTGTCCACTTAATAACTATTAGGATAATACAATAGACTTTACTACCCATAATGCACCATTGTTTAGCATATATAAATAGTTGAGACAAAACACAAGAAGACCTGAAGATTGCATTCAAGCATGTCCTCTTTTATATTTATGTGTGTTCTCTCTCTGATATTGAGCACTATATACAATATAGCATACTTAAAACTATATTTTTATTACGGAGGTTGTTAAAGTTTTATGTACTGGTCAACTTGAATTATATGATTGTATAAGTGTTTTCTTGGTTCACACACACACACACACACACACATATGCTAATAAATATACATTTGGTTCCTCACTGTTTAGTGCAACTGAGTTTCATGCTGAAGGAAATCATCAATTTTATTACCATCAGCATTAACAGTATTATTATATATATATATATATATATATATATATATATATATATATATATATATATATATATAGTCTTAAGATGTGCTATATTTATGGGATAAAGTGCTCATTGACTTGAAGTGTTGACTTCTATGTTCACTTTTGTGTTTATATAATATATATATAAATATATCTATGCATGCACACACCCACATACCTATATATATATATAGGATTAATGCAATAATAAAATTTGTCACTTGTGTTAAAGATGGTCAACAAGGTACTGTGATTTGGGTTTTATTTAAAAAAATCTTTTGCATTTGTACAAGTGTTTTCTTTTCTGGACACAAACTCTCTCCAAATACTTTATATATTAAGTGCTTTCTATTAGCCATTATCAAATATTTCTTTTTAACTGAATATGTAGATTGAGATATATATATATATATATATATATATATATATTGTGTGTTTGTGCATGCATATATATGGAAATTATTTTTTATTTTTTCAAAACTTGGAATAAAAGCAGGTTTACTGCCCAAATACACAATTTTATATAATATTGTACAGTTAGCGCTGGTGGTAATAAAGCTAATAAGTTAATTTTTATAAGTCCAAAATTAAAATAAATAAAATACATAATTATGAATAATTTCTTTTATGATTTAATTGAATTTTCTTTTGTAAAGGGGAATATGTTGGTGAGCACGAATGTAAAATGAACATTTGTTTTTTTGAAGGATAAATAGGTCTGTCCAGAAAACATTTATCTATTTAAATATTAATAAAAAAAAAAAATAGCCTATCTAGGAGAATGGTGTCTTCATCCCTTTCAAAGTACTCCTTTTGGGAACCTCATGCTTGATATCCACACCAGTTTTCAAAGCAGTGTTCTTTTGAGCAATTATCGTCAGCTATTTTGTCATGTTCTCTCTTATTATGTCTAGTCTCTTTCAATAGCAACTTCTGTTTTGTTAAAAACCAGGAATCACAAAGTTAATTTTGGACTCTAGAGTAGTGGTGGGGGTACATGTCTAAATGATGCATTGTTTTACCAAAAGTATCCCTGTGTAAAATGTCATTGAGTGTTGGTCACAATGTACAAAAGTTCATCTCACTGAAAGATTAGAAGAGTATCCTTGCATAGGTTTTCTGTGATTTACTTTCGAGCAACATAACTCATTCTCAAGTTAATAAAAATGGCTGAATGCTTTCTCGATTTATTATTGGAGTGGTTGACATCGGATGTTCAATTTAATGAAAGCGAGAAATTGAATAGGTAATTCTACAAGTCTGTTATTCAGAAACATATTGAATATTTACAGCTTATTAAATATCAAGGGTACTGAAAATGTTTTAGCTTGGACAAGATATCCTGCTGTCAAAATATTTGATGTTGGTTCATTTAGTCAGAAAGTGGGTCAGGCCAAGAACTTTTCAGCATGTCTTCATATATATTAAATATGTACATTTTTAATTTTTTTTTCTGCTTTCTTAATCTTACTGAATTATGTGTACCATTCTACTCTGTTTTCCTCTATCAGTTTTTCCCTTCTATATCTGTATTTTCTCTTTCTATTGGTATTTGTTTTAAAATTCTTCTCTATCAGCCTTCCTATTTATCTCTCTCTATTAGCTGGCAAAAATAGCTTTTGATTTGTTCTATTTGCCAAAAAAGATCAATGTGTATGCACAATACTTTCAAAGAAAGTCTTGTCAAATTAGAAAATTTTTTTTTTTTTATGTTTAAATGCTACCAGTTTACTAAAATCTTAGGTTTTGGTCTTCATGGAAAGGACAAGTGATGTTGAAATGAAAATATAATGATTACTATTATAGCATGCCATCTTAGGGATGGATCTTTTGAAAAAAAAAAAAGTTACAGGGCTTAAAAGTTGGACTGATGAGTAGTGAAATAGAGGTCAAGTTATATGAAGTACTTTTAATCAATTCATAGACTCCTACTTTTAACTAATATCAGAGTGTACAGATATTTTCTATTTTATGAAGTAAAAAATGCGTTTTTTAAATCATAATTGCTTTGTCTCATTCAATGTAAAAAATTTTACTCTAAATCTTTTGATAATAAAGTTAGTATTGGCCAATGGATGTTAGTAAAATTTTCAGGAAACAATTGTATAAGCAATATTTCTTATAAATTTCAACTTCTAATATCTATTCTTATTTCGTCCTGGGTATGATGATAAACTACATTCGCATCCTGGGTAAGACTATAAACTACATCCAACAGCAAAGCCTCTGATCAGGAGGTTTTGAGGAGCATGGAACCACCTCTTAATTGCTGGTGTTCCGAGGACCACCCTGAGTGGGGTGGTAGCACCTGTTAGGGTCCTAGCTATGGGCACAAATAGTTAACTCCCAAACTTGTATAAAAATAGGTTTTAATACCAGAAATACTTTGTAATAAAAAAATTATTACCAGCAATAATTTTTGAAGGAAAAATTAATATCAGCAATACAGAGTTATACATTCTTTGAAAAAAAATATGACCAGCTATATATTTCTTCAAGGAAGAATATTCCCAGAAATAGATTTTTGAAGAAAAACATTATTAGCAATAAAAATTTGTTGGCATTAAATAACCCATTGAGGTTGATATACTGTAAAACAAAACAAAACAAACCTATTCTTATTAAAAATATAGATAATAATTTGTTTTGGGGAAGTTGTGTTTTATTATGCAAACAAACTAAGTGAAATAGAAATTTTTATTTATAAATAAATCCAAAAGGTATTGGCCATAAAAACATAACACCATATCCCATATATCTTAGTAGATTATTATTAATTTTTACATATTAATATGGATTCCTTGACATTAGTCTTTCAACCATTGATTTTGTTGAGTTTTCTACTGTTTTGATTTTTAACATGAAACAGTTTTTATTGTTTCATAAAGATCATTGCTTGAATAATGTTTTCTATTCTCATATACAAATGAAGAGCCATAAGTTTTCTATTTGATTAATCAAAAGACTAGGAGCCAGTCTATTAATTTGATGTCTTTGAAACCTTTTTATTGGGCAAGGTCAACAATAGTCAGGTTTGCAAAATGTGATCAAGCATTGTCATGCCTGAATATACACTCCAACTTAGTTTTTTTGGTCATGACCAGTACCACTGAAAGATTTGTCTTGTCCAAAAACTGCATTAATCTTGATGATATCATCAACTTTGAAGGGACCTATAATTTTATTGTCTATATTACTAGGACAAAACATTACCACACATCCCTCCTGTTATCTACTAAGCCATTTCAAAGACCCACTCTCTGTTTTAATCATTTGGTCCATCCAATGTACTTCTATATTCATCTTTAAAAATTACTGTTAAGAAATCAGTTTTTATGTATTTCTTTGTCGAATTTACACATTTCTCTTTATGATTTTACCTGCAATGTAATGGTTTGGTTTCTTTGTGACTTTACCTGATGTTCTTAATAT